GCCTGCTGGCAGTCCACGTTCCATGGTCAAATTGTGTACGGAACTTTGGGTAGTCTATAGTCACCCTAGGTAACATTGAAAGTACGACATCGAAGACAAGTTTTCAAGGTACAATTGCCAGAGTCATGATTGGATCAGTTGATAGCTAGTCAAAACCTTCTTCTCCGCGATATTCAACTAATTACACTATATTTTCTCGTCTGGAAACCTTTAATATAGATTAATACAATAACGTGTTCCTCAATTGACAAGACTATTCAAAGGTTTCAATCTATCCATACATACCGCCAATAAAGTATTTCACCACTGAACGGGTCACACTACTGAACGGGTCACCCCATCAATTTTACGCGTCAGTCTGGTGTTTCCATTTTCAACTACCCACCATGCCCCCCCCTAAATGCTCTATATGTCCAAGACAAACAGGATCAGGAGAATAGGGTCTTATTAGCTTACCAAGCTTACAAGAATGGCGATATATCATCAATGCGTAAAGCTGCAGCTATGTTTAATATACCATTTTCAACCCTCCAACGCCGCCATTCTGGTGTCCAATTTCGTCTTGAAACACACCCACCGCAGTCTAAACTGACTGAATCTGAAGAGGATTCATTACTTCAATGGGTCGTCTCTCTAGATGATCGCGGCTGTGCTCCTAGAACTAAAGATGTTGGTAGAATGGCTAATATCCTACTCGCCGACCGCGGAACCAACCCTCCTCTTACGATCGGTAAAAACTGGGTTACTAGGTTTGCGACGCGTTTACCTGAACTTAAGACGACCTATTCAACACCGCGCGATTTTACACGTGCGCGTCAAGAGGACTATAATGTGATCAATAATTGGTTCAAACTGGTTGAAAACACGATCGCAAAATATGGTATCACCACCGACGATATCTATAATTTTGACGAGACTGGGTTTGCGATGGGACGATGTGCGACCGCGAGAGTGGTTACTAGAGCTGGTTATTATGGTAAACGCGCAAAAAAACAGCCTGGTAACCGGGAATGGGTTACTGTGATAGAGTGTTTAGGCGCGTCTGGTTACGCACCTCCACCCTGTATTATCTTTAAGGGTAAGGTGATGATGCAGAGCTGGTTTGCTCCTGATCTAGGTTTACCACCTAATTGGCGTCTTGAGATTAGTCCTAATGGCTGGACATCAAATCAAATAGGGCTCCGTTGGCTTGAAAAGCTCTTTATACCTGCTACTGCTCGTACTAAAGGACGGTATCGCCTTCTGATCTTAGATGGCCATGGTAGCCATTTAACACCTGATTTCGACAAAATCTGCCAGGAGCATGATATTATACCATTATGTATGCCTGCGCATGCGTCTCATCTTCTTCAACCTCTTGATGTTGGGTGTTTTGCGGTGTTAAAACGCTCTTATTCTCGGCTGGTTGAGTCTAGAGTAGAGCTTGGTTTTTCCCACATTAGTAAAGGAGATTTCCTAGAGATATATCCTACTGCGCGTATTGAAGCATTTGCATCTGCTTCTAATGCGTTTGCTGCAACTGGAATCGTGCCACTTGACCCTACTAGGGTGTTAAAAAAGCTTACTATGCGCGTCGATACACCACCACCACCACCCTCTATAGGAAGCGATTCAAGTCGAAATTGGACACCTAAGACGCCTAGGACGCAGAAAGATTTACGACGTCAACACCAAGCTATATTACGCACTGTATCTCGAACGCCACCAACACCATCTAAGAGAGCATTAGACCAGATAGTAAAGGGTGCAAATTACCTATATCAAGAGAATGCTCTCTTACGCCTGGAAAACAGAGATTTACGCGCCGCCCATGAGAAAAAGAAAAAACAAAAAGAACGTCCGAATCGTCAATTAACAGTAGTAGGGGGTCTTACAATTCAGGAGGGATTAGACCTGGTTGACGCGTCGAATGGTGGCCCTAAACTTAATGATGCCAATTTACAAGAGGGCCAGGCGCCTGTAAGGGCGCCTGTAACCCAACGCCGGTGTGGGATATGTAAGACACCTGGACATAGGAGGGAAACCTGTCCTAGTAGGCCCATTCAGTAGTTTTTTTTTACTATATTACATAGTAAATAATGGAGTTATTGGGATTCATAAAAATAAGTGGGTCAAACTGACCCGTTCAGTAGTGTGACCCGTTCAGTGGTGAAATACTTTACTATATGCTTTACTTTGAGTCAAGTACTTTTGTGGCCGTCACTTAGCAGACTACGAGTGCCCACTTCGGTATTTAATTTGCACTGCGGAAATTTACTCGGCCGGCTAAAACAGATAATGTCTCGGGTGTTTCCCGAGGTTTTACTAGATACAACTAACAAATAACCGATATACAAGCGTTTGGAGCCCCCGGCAGTAAACAAATAGCGACAATTAAGGTATGCAAGCGGCACTCCACTCTTCTGCTTCAGTTGACTTAAATAGGGGCCGGAACCTCACGGCGCTCACATCCGTCCAACCAAAAATCAATTATCCACTGACTTTTCCCATAGTACACAGGTCTGTGCGTGATAAGATTTTCGGTTAGCTCCGAAGCCACTGCCGCTATCCGTCTCCCCGAGTGATTGATGTGCGTAGTGCCTAAGTAATATAAAATTGCAAGATCATTTACCCAGTTTTAGGACTTTTGATTGTATTTACAATCGTACTATTGAAGTTGAATATTCGTAATCTTGGGGTGAATATGCCAAATAGAACCTAAAGTTAATATCTAGTGATCCGTCTACGTCGTAGAACCGGATTTGAATATTGGAGTTAGTGTTTATTCCATCATTAAAATAGTTTGTTGCTGAATGTTGCTTTCAAGATGCGCGTAGGTCGTGTAAATTATCCCTTTCTTACTAATACCTCCGCTTCTATCAAGTTATAATTTTTACATGCAGATTCCATAGGATCAGCACCCGGGAGTTGGTCACCCCCTAGAGTTGGCCCCTAACACGCGTGGCGTCCCCCCACTTCCCATATCTTTCACTTTTCTAATACAGCCTGCTATCCGTCTGAAATGCCTGCCAAGGAAGAAATACCTCTTGTCATTTCTGATTAGGATCTGGCTGAATTGCATCAGTCAAAGCTGCTCTCACTATTTATGAGATCCCAAGATCTACCCTAAGATATCAAATGAATGGTTCCGAAATTAAATCAGTAAAGGCTATCCCCGGCTCACAAAGAATTTCTAGCTATTGGATTCCTAAGGATTCCCTTCTTTGTATACCTATATAGATCATCAACCCCTTGGAAAGGTATAGCTCCCAAAATTATCCAGTGAAACCCCTACGTCACTTCTTATATTTGTAGATCTACTGAGACCTCCAGGGCTCTTTTAATTTTTGAAGGAAGCTGTTGCGACAGCCGAGAAACAAGGCCATCAACAGACGGAAAGTATTTCGGCCGAAAAAGCTTCTGCCGAGACAGTGACTCTGGAACTAGATTAGTATATCACGGCATCCTTAAACGATATGCATTCATCGCAAACGACACCCTTGAGCGATGTGCATCCGCGACAGTAATGTCCCGTCTTCACCGTCTCTTCTGTCTCGGACGAATGTTGACATTCGTCCAGGGCAGAGGGGCACCCATATACTATAAGTAGCTAGTTCTTTCATCAATGAAAAAGCAGACTTCACAACAATCGCAATATTCAGTATCGTAGCATCCACTACACCCGGTGGATTTTCTACGGTGTTGAGTAGCGGTTTGTTGGAGCTCACAACGTCTACTATTCTCAGTTAAGATATTCGAATATCGCCAAGCGAGCGACAGAAGCCCCTTCTCCCCACACACACTTCTTGCGTTAAAAAATACATCCTAGACCAGCTATATACCACCCATGAGAATGGCTAGATAGTCGATTTTCTCCGGATTTATAGTTCCTCAAAGTTGGTGGAAGACTGCGGCCCATGGAATCCAGCTAAGGGCCTTGAATTATCTTAACTTCGATATCAGCCCTCTTTATGCCACAAAAACGCCAAATTACCCCTCCTCTTTCTCAAAATTCTTCAGAGATGATCTTTAATACACCCCAAAGCTACCGAAATATACGAAATTCCGAGGAAGTTTTTCAAACAAAGTGAAATTTGACTCAAGATCAAAGGGATGCTCTTAGGAAGCTAGCAAACTCCTTAATGCTAGGTGAGAGCTAACGGAGCTCTTGTTTCTAAGCCTACTTCTCAAATTAAGACCTTTCAGAATCAGAAAAGAAGTAGATAACTATAGACCCTAATACGCGATTTACAGACATAGAAAATATTAAAACAGCACATCCAGAGGCTAAAGTTTTAGCAGAGCACCGGTGACAGGAGGCAAAAAAGCTTCAGATAAAATAGCTAGGGCGACCTACAGGATATGATGTTTGAAATCCAGACCTAGTGTCTGTGGTGGAAATAGTTCCGGGTTTTCTAAAATGTTTCATAATTTAATTTTATGGCCAACTCCCGGGTGCTGATCTTATTCATAAAAATAGTGTCTACCTAAGTAGGTATAAAGATGGTTCCCAAATGAGAAACACCGCAACAGAAATGAATGAATTTTCAATAGCACTTCAACTGGCTTCTCATATGTTTATCATGTTTCTGTCTCCAAATCTCCAGGGTTCCGGAGATGTACTCTCGACCTTGGAATTGACATAACAAGAAGTACCTAGGTAGTAATGCCATTTATAAGGCTAGGTACCGAGTATTGGAAGGTCCACGGGTGTTTATTTCCAATGCCTAGGTGCCCAGGTGGATTCCAACTCGTGGACTCTTCTAAACACCTGGTGATTACCCGTTCTGGAGATGCCAGGAATATATTTCTGAGGCCACTGCCTACGTAGGTTATCTTTATAAATGATCTCAAAATTCAACTCAGCTACTAATGCCTACTATTATGTCGTAGACCTATATTCTTTTTCAAGGTTACAGCTCAAGTGAGATAGGGACCTTGAGATTGGTTGGAATCCCCAAAGTCGAGATATTATCTAGTGTAAATCCTCACGTAGTATTCACTTTCTTCATATGATTCTTTTAGAAACGCACCTCCGGCCTAAGTCTAATATTCTTGGGTATCACATAGACAGCAGGCAAGGAGCTGTATCGAACAGGTTTGAGGGGCACCCTTTGACCAGGCCGTCTGGGGAGACTTGTAGTATTTTGATTGTGCTGTAATGCAGGTTTGTTGTCAGCTGATTGGCAATACTTCTCGGTAAGGCAGATACTTGATATTTGTCTGCGTAAACTTGGTGGTTCTTGGCCAGAGACAGTGATTAGGCTGCTCAAATAGTAGAATTCTTCTTCCCCCTGATCTTTTTCTATCTCAGTGGTTAGAGAAAGTCGTTTAGAAGCAATTATTTCATCTGAAGATGATAGAGGTTGATCAGTAGAAGTAGACGAGGGGTCCACAGTGGCTGCGCGAGCTGGTAGTTGACTGACTACCAAGTTTGTATCATAACAGCAGGGCAAGTCTCGCTTGGTAGGTGACATGGGATTATAGGGTTTTTTTTCTGATTGTTTAATCTGAACATTATTGCCGTCTTCATTGGCATCCTCTTGGGTTATAATTTCCGTGCAATCGGAATCGTTGCTGCCCCGGCGACGCGTGTCAAGATATGATCGAAGGGTAGAGAAGGTACCTTGACTGCTGCCAGGCGGGCAAGTGAATGAAGTCATCTCAGGAATACTGGCAATGTTTTTGTCAGTATTGATTCATCGTGTTGATCTCTTTTCAAAAGCGTCAGATGGTCACTCACCTCGTAGAGTGAAAGCAAATGCAGTATGGAAGTTACTTTAGGAACTCGAAAACAATCATCTGAATCTGGGGCTGAAATGGTGTTGAAGATGGCGCTGGTGGTAAAAAAAATCAGCTGTTTCAGGTTAATGCATTAACAAGGTAGGTGCAGGCCCATATCTAACCACTACCCAGTAAATAACCCAAAAACTAATTTAACAAATGTAATGTTCACAATTTTCCCAGACCCCAAAGAAACTCTGAAGCACAGGTTACTTCTTAAACTAATCTAAGCTGACATCGTAGATATCCAATATCAGCATAACCTAACAATATACAGCCACCTCTCCATTCAAAGGTTTTATCTAATGATCTCTACTTTACCTAGGTACTATACCAGTGGGTAGGAATACGTCAAGGGACTTTTGTCTTCTCTCATGTATAGTCTATAAGGTAAACCGGAACTGGGGGTGATCATCTCCCAGATTCTTCACTTGTTCCTCTGGCCACCCCCAAACGTTTATCGCGATCACCTCGATCTCGCTTCCTATTCTCCAAACATATGCCCACAGCCATGATGGTAGCGGCCAGCCAGACAATCACGCCATGGCTAACCCCACCGCGAAGCCAGTGTGATAAACGGGCGCCTCCCTTTGCAGAAACATGATCGATCCAATAATGCTAGCAAAGCCAGCAAAACTAACCTGGCAGGCAGATCCTTTAGCGCGCTTCCAATGGTTAGCGAGATTTTTAGACAGGAACACAATTGCAATCGGACCAGAGCAGATGCCGCCGCCTGCAATCAAGTAGCAAGCAGCGTATCGGGCGCCGCGGGATAGATGCTCAACGTTAAGAAGCATACCATAGCCGATGTTGGCTATCAGGACGCAAAACACGAGAAAATTGTAGCGGTGATAGAGCCGGTCAGACAACCAGGAGAGGATCAAAGTGAGACCCATAGTGAAGATATAGATTGGGATTGTGTGTACTCAAGCCTCAGCCGAGCGCCAGTCATACTCCTTCAGAACGGTTAGCAGGAAAAAAGACATGGCAAGACCACTTGAGGTTGAGCTCATGTAGATCAGAGATCTGTCAGATATTTGGCATTTCTCCTAGGTAGAGACGGTTTAAACAATAAGGGGAACAACATACCCAAGCCAGATTTTCCAGTCAAGGAAGATCTGCTTGACTGCAGGCCGGTCAAAGGTGTCCATCCGGAACTCTCCTCCATTGCCAGCTAGACGCAAATGAAGAAGCTCTTTCTCTCTCTCTCTTTAGGAGAGAAAAAATGGCATTGCTCCGGCCAATCTACTAGTATGGAACATGCGAAAAGGGCAACAAACGCCGTTATGACATGACGCCTTCAATGATAAAGATCCTAGAGCTATATTAGTTCTTAAAATCCATAAACATCAGAAAAAGTGATTCCTCTTACCATCTCCACCCTAGATAGCCATGCTGCGTCCCTAACTTGGAAATATCAAATGCTAGAATCCATACATCAAAGGAAGTCAGATACGGGGAGGAATGAGGATCAAGAGGACATACACCACCAATGGCACCTCCGACGGAGGTATCAAAAAACATGAGACTTAGTCGTTCCTGATATTCATATCGACAATAATACATGGATGTCACGTATACGACTCCTGGAACGAGTCCAGCCTCGAAAAATCCTAGCAGAACTCGAAGAGTATACAGCCTGATAAGTTTGGATAAAGCCTGTGCACATAGTGGTGATTCCTATACAGGTTAGAATTATGCTTGGAATCATCCTATGGATTAAATTAGATTACCCCAGAGGAACATCAACGTCGGAAGGTAGAGAGAAGGCCTGAAATGTTTGAGCAGGATGTTGCTTAGTATCTCAAGTGGAATGTATAGCACATAGAATAACTAGATGTCATCAGTAAGAGCCCAAAAGCCTTTAGTCATTTAGGTATGACTGCCCGAACTCACAAAGAGAGCAACATCATATCGGTTTTCCACGTGAAGATCCAGCTCTTCACTCATTCCCTGAATCCGGGCATTGCCAATGTTGATACGGTCCAGATAGGAGAGCATGTAAAAGAGAAAAAGAATAGGCAAAATGAGAAGATCAATCTTCAAAAGAAGTTTCCTTTCTACATTCTTGTCACGAGGAACAATAGTAGAGTCTGACTTGGACAGCACTTTTTCGCTCGTGACGAGATCAGTGGTCATGATTTCCTTCTCCATGATGCTAATCGGTAGAAACCTTAGAGGGATATGTTGATCTTAAGCTGAGAGTTTGGAAAGAAGACGCATAACTGCATATATGCATTCTATTCTGAGTTTTATCTGATGTTGTGAACAAAGACCTAACCTTGAAACCATACGCTACCAGCAAAGACACATCATCAGCCGACCAAAAATCTTACTGAATTAATTGATATATACATGGCAACTGCGGGAAAAATAAAGAACTTTGAAAACAGAGAGTTTGTGGCTGACTGCGTAGGGTCTTTCTCAGGACGTATGTGAGCACTAGTCCGTCGGACTCGTCTGCCTTCCCGATTGGGGGCTCGAGACTTTTTAGCTGCACATAATCTTATTCCGAGGTCTTTATTGGCCATTTAAAACGTAACCTGAATGCCTTCCTAATATTTGAAAATTCACCGGCTGGAATTCACATCTCAATCTAGGAAGCTAGTTACTAATATCCTTCTGCTTTGAGACTTTTAAATTTCATAAATCTGAATATCCAGTAGAGTAGTCAAAAATTCCAAGAGCTAACGAAACATGAAATTTAACTACGCATGCTCAATGCCGTTCTTCAAAGTTCCAATTTCCGACACAAAAATCCTCATCTTGGTTCCTGGTGTTAAGAATCTCGGTGGAGTTAGATGGAAGCCAACTCCTATTGAAATGGAATTAGAGTGGCATTTTGGAGAAGAACAGAGATTAGCTTACCTCCTGGCGTTCCCGTCATAATGACCGTACCTTTCTGTAGAGTGGTACCTGATGAGAGGTAATGAATTAAATATGGAATGGAAAATGCGAGGTCATTTAGATCACCCTTTTGGCGCAGCTCCCCGTCGATTCGTGTCTCTAGCTTAAGCACAGTTGGGTCGGGAATGAGACTAGTTGCTACGAGAACAGGACCCATCGGTGCATAGGTATCAAACCCCTTTGAGAAGCACGCCTGGGGCATTGGGCCTGCAAGCTCGGGCTTCGTCTGCAGCTTCCGGGCAGAAACATCGTTACCCACAGTATAGGCGGCCACATAATCCAAAGCATCAACCTCAGAGACATCTTTTGCATCTCTACCGATCACAACGCACTAGAAGTAGCGAAGATCAGTAATTAGCACAACGATTATATACCGATTTTACGTACTAGCTCTCCCTCATAATCGGCTTGTTCGTCTTGAGCGATCTTTGGAATTATCACATTCGCACCGTGATCGTTTACTGCTGTACTAGCCTTGATGAACAAGGTTGGGTATGGTGGAGGAGCTTTGCCGGTCTCTCGAACTGCTCGAAAAATAGAATAATCAGCAAGTCTGCTAGCCTATTGTCAACCAAGTAGGGTTAAACTCACTATGTGTCAAGTAATTGAGCCCAATGCACCGAATGAGTGGCACAGTCGATGTAGTAAGAGGGCCCAGAAGAGTTTTTACAGTCACAATCTCATTAGTTACTCTGGTAGTACCTGTTGTGTCATACAAATCATCACCCTCGATGACTCTGGCCTGGAGTTGTGTCGACTCTATTGTCTCTCCGAGATCAAAGTCAGAGCTTGGAAGAACAGGCTCTCCATACAATAAGCGCCCATCAGTGGCTTCAAATCGGATCAAACGCTGCCAAACTGTCCTCATATTGGAATGCCGAATGTTGGCTCGACATGTGGTGAGAACTAAGGATAGAGATCTGAGGGGTTAAGTGGGGTAATGGGACCTACTTATACCTCTCAACTTATGAGACTTACGAGAGACCTTCGCTTGTACCCCTTTTGTCATTATTTTTTTTAATTCCGACCATTTTGAGAATAGCTTCAGGAACAGCTCTGGAGGACTCCGGTTTCTGATACTTAGAAAGTTTAAGATTAAAATACTTCGGGAATAAAAGATCTACGATCAAACTATTAAAGCAAATTAACTGTAGTTCCAAATTCCATCGAGCAATCAATTCTAATGCAGGTACTCTAAAGGTACTCCTTGAACCACGATACCGCCTGCACAAATGCCTGCTCCTTGGCAAACTTCTGACGAGGCTGAGAAAGGTCACAGCGCACAGAGAAACCATGCTCAACGTCAGAGAACAGATTGATCTGGTAAGGAATATCTTTCTTGTCAAGAATGTCCTCGGCAAGGCGACGTTTTTCGGTGGTGAAAACAAAATCGCGGACTAGAACTATTAGAGTTTGCTATAGGGACTAAATACGAGAGAAGAGCTTACCTGCAGCCGCAATGCTGAAAGGTCCCTCGACTCCGTCCAGCTCGGTGGGTTCCATCATGGTCGGGTGCGCCGTGAAGCCGGCATCAAGCTTGCCACCCTTAAGGTATCGGGCGACATACTTTCCGCCAAAGCAATATCCCACGCCACCAATGCGCTTGCAGCCAAGCTTCTCTCGCATCTCCGCCAACACAGTGTTGATGATGGGTTCCGTTTGCTCTGGGTAGTGGTTCTGCAACCAGTCCACGAGCTTAAATCCCTCTGGGCGGTTGATCGGGATGGAATCCCCCTTGAAGAGATCAGGCATAACAACAAGATACCCAGCCTCCGCAAATTGGTCGGCAATCAGCTGGGCATTGATGAAGTTGTGACCAATAACATCAGTCAAAATGAGGATGGCTTTCTCGGTGGACCTGTCGGCCGGGTAGGCAAAGTAGGTGGAAACTAGTGGCGGGGTTATGAGGGATCGGGATCGGGGTTGGAATAGCGGGGGGGGGGGGGGGGGGCTTACTATCGCCGATATCCTTGATTTCACCCTTGGCCTCACCCTCGTGTAGGGAGCCAGTAGTGCAGCACTTAGAGAGAGGGGCGGAAGTAGTCATCTTGGCAATCGATGTTGGATTGTATATGGTGTAAAGCTTAACAGGTGGAAGAAATGAAAAGTAGAGAAAATAATACGAGCGGGAAACGAGGCTACATTTCTAATTCACAGAAACTATGAGGAATGCAAGACGAGTCATACCCTGCAATGGATAGCACGAATCAGAGATCATAAAGTACTCAAATCTTAATCGATATTGGGAAGACTGTTGCAGAATTCCTGTTATCAGCTGCAGATACCACGTAGTAGACAAGGCTTAGTTCTTTGTTTCTTAAAGTCCGGCTTTATCTCCGCTTTATGGCCGTTAAATACGGTTTAAAGTAAGACGGATATTTCCGGCTTCACATGATTGATCAGATCATCTAGATCTCGCCGAGGAATCTAAGCTAGGCCTAAAAAGGTCATAGGTCACAGTAGGGCACATAATTCGCCGGAGAAGTGATAGGATGTATCTCGGCGATTTCGAGCTGTAGGCCGATAAGAAAAAGTCCCCATTGAAACAATTGAAACATATTTGGAATTAATTTGGTCAGATGGAGCGAAGCTCAACCTGCATGGACCTGCATAGACCAGGCGCACTGCATATACGATGTCAAGGTGGATCATTGGAGGCCCAGCCCTGAGACGCAGCTATATCGACCTAAGCGGATCGTGAGGCATTACGGTACCATGCACAAGATGAGCGCTTGATAACACTCTTGATACTTTTTGTTTGTTTGAGGGACGATCATTCAAGGCTCATACACAGTAATCATGGTATAGAAGCTCATCTGGGGCTGAATCCAAGGCTCAATCCAATTCATGGAAAAGATAGCGAGGAGGTGTAAGATTAACAGTATATATACCAAGAGTCGGCCTATTAGAGCCGAATCAATATCCAGGTACCGTCGCACGAGGCTCGGAACATGATGCTGCGTAGAATATTGGCTGCTGCAGCCTTGGTCACCAACGTGGTTGCGTTTTCGTCTACTCTAGGGATGATCAATGCCCCCATCATACCCAAGTATCTGGACAATCCAGTATGTACATTGGACTGCATATGTGTTGGTATCGATCTGCATTTAACCCAAAGATATCAACAGAAAACTCCTGGCTCCAATCCCTGGCAGCACAAGACTGCAGATCAGGTCAATCCCAATGATATTCCATATACAGGAGTGGTACGAAGGTACCATTTCACTATCGGAAGGGCCACGATTGCTCCAGATGGAGTAGATCGACCAGTAATTCTTGTCAATGGCCAATTCCCTGGTCCAACTATTGAGGCCAATTGGGGAGATACCATACAGGTTACTGTCAAAAATGAAATCTTAGATCCTGCTGAAGGAACGGCGATTCATTGGCATGGACTGCGTATGCTAGAAACTCAGTGGATGGATGGGGTTCCTTCTACTGTGCAGTGTCCTATCACTCCCGGAAAGTCGTTCACCTATGAGTTCACAGCCGACGCGTATGGGTCAACCTTTTGGCATTCTCATTATGGTGCTCAGTACTCGGCAGGTACTTTCGGACCAATAATTATCCATGGGTGAGCAGCTTCCACGGATAAAGTAGGGATTCCTTTCTGATCTTTGTTTAGACCCGAACATGCTCAGTACGACATAGACCTGGGCCCTGTCTTCTTGGTATGTTAAAGTCAAATCTTAAGAGCTATCAAAACTAACCCACCATAGTCGGACTGGTATCATGCGGATTATGTTGAGGTAGTGCAAAGTGTCGTGGGACTTCCTGCACCGACAACTCAAGCCTACTCAGACAACAATCTCATCAATGGCCGCATGCCATTCGACTGCAGCAACCCTAACATCACCACCAACCATCTGACCTGCTCGTCTAATGCCACATATTCCAAATTTCAATTTACCAAGGGAAAGACTTACCGACTGCGGGTCATGAATGTCAGCAGCCAAGGTTTCCAGCGCTTCTCTATAGATAACATGAACATGACAGTGATTGCGAACGATTTCATCCCCATTGTACCTTACGAGACAGATGTGCTCAGCATTGGCATTGGGCAGCGCGCTGATATACTGATCCACGCGACTGGTGACTCGACCGATGCTGTTTGGATGCGCTCAGACGTTAGTGAAAAGTGTTCCGTCAGTTACCAGGGACATGCGAAAGCGGCCATATACTATGAGGATGCCGACCTGACCCAGCTACCAAATACGACCGCCACACAGTATGACGACTCATACTGCGGAAATGTTAGTGCAGAACTTTTATCCCTGAAATCTCATCCAACTTTAGAGCGAATAGTTGATGGTCAAATACAGGTCCCGCTCAATGTTACCACGCCAGTATATGCGATGGACCCGCCCTCAGATCCCGCCACCACACAACGCTTGGATATTCGATTCTTGACCAATTCCACAGGCAACAGACTCTGGTATGTAAATAACAACACATTTCGTGCCAACTACGAGTAAGTCCAAAATCCGAAATGCCATAAACCAGATAATTGACAATCCCCACAGACACCCCATCCTCCTCCTGGCCAAAGCTGGAAATGTCTCGTACCCAAATCCGGATTGGTTGGTAAACAATATTGGCAGTAACAGCTCAGTCCGGTTCATCATATACAACTATAGCTTAACCCCGCGCAGCCAACATCCAATGCATCTCCACGGCCACAACTACTGGATTGTAGCAGAGGGTTTGGGTGAGTGGGACGGAGTAGCCAACCTAAAGAATCCCATGCGTCGAGACACTTTTGTCTTACAGCCCGGGGACCCCATCAAGGGAGCGTCATACATGGTGATGGATTTTGTGACCGACAACCCAGGAGTTTGGCCATTGCATTGCCATTTGGCATGGCACGTCAGTGCAGGTCTCTACGTGAACATACTGGCGAGTTTTGATACTTCACAGCTTTTGACAACTGGCTAATTAAGAGCAGGAACACCCAGAGAAGATCAGAAATCTGCAGATTCCTTCTGATGTCTATCAGACTTGTCATGATTGGGCCAACTATAAGGGTGTGGATTTGGTCCCCGAAATTGATTCGGGAGTCTAACAATATTCGTTCAAATTCAAGGCTCTGGCAATGAATAGTCTACTGTGTTCATGATACCTACTTGAAACTTTTTATGCGGTTATTTTTTGAGATGCTACCTCTGTACTTAGTTCCTATTCAATTGTTACCTCACTTAATATATACATGTAAATCCACTGTAATTCTATCGCTCTGTTCAAAATCATAATTTTCAGGGTTGGATGTAAAATGTGTTGAATCAACAATAACGTCAAGTATGCATAATGTTGTATAATTTCCAAGAGCTTCACATCTACTCTCTTCTTTACTCGTAGTCAACAAGGGCTACGAAGCAATAAAATGAAGAGTTATTGTAAGATATGTATGCACGACAACATAGAATGTAGAGAGTCTACCTCGGTGATGAACAAAGACGCGTGTTTTATGAGGTTATATCGATGAGTTCAAAGGCCTAACATTTGTAGTATCTCTCTTTTCTATTAACGACCACAATGGCCATCAAGCAATAAGTATGTATGGGAGTGATTAAATCCTAGGTCACAATTTTGGATAAAACAATTCTCTGGCCACACGACCAGGAGCAGTCAGGTTAATAGTTTTCAACCAGCAGAAACATGATCTCGGATTTCTCCTCACTGATATACGTGACACCCATGCAATTGGGTGGTTAGAGAAAAAAAAAAAGGATCAGGAGAACAAGACGGCACGTGCTAGTGAATCCGCTTGTCCATATCGAAAAGTGAATGCTCTCTTGAGCCACGTTCTGAGATTTTCCTATGACCACTGCGGTCAACATCTGACCTAGCATTCAAAATGAACACATCCGTGGACTGACCAGCGTCGGTTGACTCAATATCATCGAGCATACAGTCTATGTGCAGATGGATGCTATGGTATAAGATTTAGCCTTTCTCGAGCCCGATTGATGATTAAAGACGCATCTGAATGGAGAGATTTTTGCGAAAAGAGTGGTTATGAGTCTAAAATTGTCTTGGAATTGAACTATCTATATGAATATGTATCCGAAAACTTCATCACATTCCAAGATACATCTGAAAAATCAGGACGAAAGCTCAACAATAGAAACATTAGGTTCCAGCTTCGCATTTGACTGATGCAATGACGACAAATTGAGAGGGACTGGCTGTGTCAGAGCACTTGCCTCTCTCATTTTGACTGCAGCTGCGAGATTATCCAACACTCGCTCAGTCTCTTCCCAACTGATGCAGCCATCGGTAATACTGACTCCATATTTGAGTCCCTCCGTCGCAATGCTTTGCTGGCCTGCTTTAGTTAGTCACAGAAAACTCCCTAGCCTCGAAACTTAGAATGAGGGAGAGTAGACTTACCTGCATGAATATTACTTTCAAGCATAACACCAGCGATTGGCATTCCATCAGCTATCTGCTGGGCAAGGTCTGCTGCCACAATCGGTTGCTTTCGATAATCCTTCATTGAGTTTCCATGGCTGCAGTCTACGACCAGTCGCACCTCCTGACCAGACTTGCGCATCGCAGCTTCAGCTTGCTGGATGTGCGCGCGGCTGAAGTTGGGACCACTTTTGCCGCCGCGGAGGACAACGAAGGTATTTTGATTACCCGTACTCAGTCGCTCAATGAGGAATCCCTCATCATCTACTGCAACGAGAGTATGGCTCTGTGCAGATGCCTGCATGGCATCCAGGGCTACACCCAGCGTGCCATCTGTGCCATTCTTGAACCCAATGGCCATGGGCGCATCACTGGCGACTTCGCGGTGTGGCTGGCTCTCAGTTGTGCGGGCACCAATAATTCCACAGGCCAATACATCTTCTAGAAACGGTAGCACAAACGGGCTTAGCACCTCCGTAACGACGGGCAAGCCTAGCTCTGCTACACGCAGCATGATCTCTCGTGAGACTTGCAAGCCCTTGGCAAGATTCCCATTTCCTTGCGTCAGATCTGGGTCATGCACGAGGCCCTTCCATCCCACAGTGCTGCGTGGCTTCTCAATGTACACACGCATAGCAATCAACAGCTGGCCGCGATGTCTTTCGGCTATGACAGCAAGCCGTCTTGCGTAGTCCATCGCAGCATCTGGGTCATGAATACTACATGGCCCAATAATGACCAGAAGTTTTGGACTTGGTGCGAGATAGTCATGCTCTAGAGGGAATGGAGCAGACAGTAGCCTGTTAATGGCATCTCGGCCTTGCCCGACAGAGCGAGCCGCTGCACCCTCCTGCAGTTCCAATTAGTACTTCCGATTGACGAGCAGTTTTAAGACAATAAATTACCAAGGGAAGGGCCTGCTTAAGGGTTCCTGGAGACAGTCTAGTTCTTGAGGTTGCCATTGAAAATTTTGTTTCGGAACGTCGGCTCAAAGATGATTGACTAGAGATAAAGTCTCTGATATATCTCGAAATGTGTCTAAAGCTTTTTAGTCTTTGATATTCCATTCACCAAGATCTTTATATATAAAGATACCTAGACGGGCTTACTAGATATTCAGGCCCCTTTGATACGAATTACCTGGGCGCTTGGGCAGTCAACCCTCTCCACAATGCTGGAATGGAGGTTTGATCAGCACATCAACGCATCAACCCAATGCAAATAAAGGACCGCTCAGCTGTGGGCGCCTGATAGCCTGGGACAGGTAGAGGTGATCGACATGCAGGTACCTATCTAGGTATAGGACTATGCGCATATCACTGTTGATCGGATTTAAGACGAAGTTCCCGATAGCTCCAGCATCCCGATATTGCAAATGATTACTGAACCCCTCCGGTGAATTTATTTGACTCGGTCATAATCAATTGATGCACTACGTGTCAAGTAAGCATCATGAAAAAGAAAACATGCTGCTCTGTCGAGCCTGAAAAGTATGTAAGATGTGTACATGTATGAGGCAAGGTTTGAACGTGTCGATCTAGAGTCTAGGCGCAGCAATCCATAGATACCTAATACAACTTTGGAACATCTGAATGCGATGTCATAGACGAAATAGTTCAATCTATCTCTTCAGTATTACCGGTGTATTTTCAGTACTTTTCGTCATCTCAAGCTTACTTAGAAAGAATGCAAATGTGGATCAATTGGTTATTAGCAGTAGACGATCTCGGGGCCTCGGGGGAGAAACGACGGGCGCTGGAGGCCCCCGGGCGGGTGCTACCTAGGTACTCTTATGAATAAATCTAGGTACACAGGTGCCAATAAAAACGTGTCTATGTACTTTATTGTTTTGTATTCAAGAACGAAGAAAATAAAGAGCTATCTATCGAACCAGTATATGCCTAAGCATTCCACAAAATGCCTATCTATCTGTCTAATGCTTTCCACTTATGCGACCTGTAATATCTTTTTCAGATCAAAACCCAAGATCACAGTTTAGATCCATGGCCCATGTTGCGCAATCTTGGACCCTGAAAATAGAATATCGTTGGTAAGGGCATCATCACCACACACAACATCGCCAGCAGCAGAGTTCCCCATTGATAACCCAACGACTCGTACAGTTTGAACCCAATCAAACTAAAGACGAAGCCCAGGACACTGCGGGTGAGAGTCATGGCAGCCAGGGCGCTGGCGGAATAATGGTCAAACGAGTCCACCAAGTAGGTTGTCACACAGATGTAGGTCATCAGCATTCCCATGGAGAAGATTGCTGCACCAATCAGCGGAACAATCCAATGTACATCCTCACGTGCAGTAAAAGTGAAGACTAAGAGTCCAGCTGGGACAATGCAGGCCCCAATCTGCATGAGCGGCATTCGATACTCGGGGCCTCGGTTCTCCATCGAACCTTCCTGGTGACTGGCGCGCGCTTTCATTAGATCGTATGTGCGGTTCAAGCCGACTGCGCAGACGAAGACACCGGCAAAAGAACCAAAACCAACGCCCAAATAGGAGAGTCCTGTCAGCGATGCCGGCCACCTGTATGATGGAAGGCCATACAAAGGCTCTGATCCGTACAGAAGAGGGAGTGTGACCATGTGGAGATATAAGATCCCGTATATCCTGCGAAAGTTATCAGTCACTTGTATCTTAGGCTGTTGTGTAGAGCTGCATACAGTGCCATATAGATGCTCATCGCAGTACACGCGGGTGCCATCACTAACATACGCGCAGCTCGGGTCAAGCTGCGAGATAGTAGTTGCCGATGACCAAGAGTGCTATCGAACGCACTGCGGTAGTCATTGTTGCCCGAAGAGCTCCGTTGCTTGGCAGCTTTCTTGCGAAGAATCAATGGTGCGAAGCTCTCATTGAGAAAAAGGAAAGAAACAACACTCGTAACACCAGATGCTATAGCCATTATCCACGGTACCCATCGCCATTTTCCAGTGCCAGCCAGAATGAAGGCTCCAATGATGCCACCCAGAGCTGACCCTCCTGTTGGACCAAAGCTATACACGGACTGAGCGCGTCCCCGAGTCTCTGGTGGAAACATGTCTCCAATAGTTCCGCCACCGATACTCGGGCCTGCAGATCCAGCCATGCCAGAAAGTAGACGGAAGACGGCCAAAGCAGCCATATCGGGTGCTACAGCACATAGAATATTGGTGATGGTAAAGGCCACAAAACACGAAACGTAGATTATTCTACGGCCGTAGAGCTCAGATAGTGGTGCCAGGAATAGAGGTCCCAGCCCAAATCCAAGTACAAATAATGCGGTAGGAAGACTGGGGGTATACGTGTCCGTGAGATGGAAATCGTGTGCAATGGCCGTGCCAGTGACAGCTAACATAGTAGAAGCCATTGGTGACAAAGTAGCCTGAACACTGATGAGCAGCACATTCTGCCATTTCTTCCCTGTAGTCCAATTTCGAGGATTGCTAGGGTCGTCTGGACCTTGCCATGTCTAATGAAGATCCGATGAGTCGCTAGTTCGCCTGTATCGTGATGGAAGAAAAACCTACCACTTCAAACCCATTATCCATTTCTGAAGACTGAGGAATCTTTTCGGTTGCTACAGCCATTGTGCTTCAGTGTTCAAAGCTGAGACGATGGACTCAAAAGGAATAGTAACCATCTTGATGAAGACAGAAGATGAACGGTCAGCCAAATTAGCCCAATGCATTGGAATTTCTTGTCTCACTCAGCTTAGTACCAGTAACCATCAGATTCTGAACCCCGCATGTTTTTTTCTTATCATGCATCTACAATCGATTCCAGCCGCTAATAGCCCCAAAATGCCGAGACTTGGTCTATAGAAATCGCCGGGCCAATCACATGGGAGCACATTTCGCCCATTAGGCGCCCGATAGGGGTCTCAAAAAGCTCGAAAAAGCGCCAATTCGTAGTCGGCGATATTTTAAGGGTTAGCCCCACCCATTTGGACTCTGTAGCGACTGTTTCAAGAAACTATGGACACCTTAGCCTTAATGCCGTTGTGATGATTATTAATATGAAGTATGGACGGCCTCACTGTCATCCAGGCCAGAGCAACTAAGTATATAAAAGCTGCAATATATCATCATTAGATTCGTACAGGTCGACTGTGTTGTTATTTTCGAAGTCGTATCACTTTGATAGAACTACTTCAATCATGGCGCCTTTACCCAGAAATATCCTGCAAGTCCTGTCTAGAGCAGCTCACTCCAGCCCAGACAAGGGCATATCTATATATCCCCCTGGTCAGACAGAGATTCCACAAGTTCGCATTACCTACGCAGAACTCCTCAATGATGCTCTTGACCTGGCTCGGCGTGTGAAGTCGATCCCCAGCATTACACCACAGACTATCGTGTTGATCCATCTCGATAATCACCACGACAACATTCGATGGCTATGGGCTGTCATCGCTGCAGGCCTGGTCCCTGCGATCTCAACTCCATTTACGAATGATGTTGATCAGCGGAAGAAGCACATCCTGCACCTGCAGCACGTTCTGCGCAATCCTATCATTCTCACCAAGAAACGTCAGGTATCTGAGTTTCTCGACATACCGGGATCTCGTCTATACACTATTGAAGACCTGAAAGAATCATACCACATGCAAGGTGCAGACTCCTGGAATGATGGATACACTAAGGGCCCTGGAGATCTCGCTGCCCTCATGCTAACTTCGGGAAGCACGGGCAATGCAAAGGCAGTTAGTCTGCGCCATGGTCAGGTCATTCACGCCGTCATCGGCAAGTCCCTATACCACGAGACCCGTGGCGACGATGTCTTCTTGAACTGGATTGGCATGGACCACGTTGCCAACCTTACCGAGATCCACTTGCATGCCATGGTACTCGGAGCAGACCAGGTTCACGTGCAGGCCGGCGACTTGATCGCTAATCCACTCTCGTTTCTATATCTCATCGAAAGACACACAGTCGCATACTCATTCGCTCCAAATTTCTTCCTGGCTAGTGTTAAGAAGGCGTTAGAAGCCATGCTCCAGTGCATGGAATCGGATACATCCACCACCAGGAGCCTACCGAACGTCTCCTCCCTCCGCTGCCTAATCTCCGGCGGAGAGGCCAATTCGGTTTCGCTTTGCGCGGCATTCAACGAGCTTTTGGGTGTCTTGGGTGCTCCCAACGCCTTCATCAGGCCGGGATTTGGCATGACAGAAACGTGTGCTGGCAGTATTTACAACGTGGACTGTCCCAGCGGGGATCTTGTTCACGGTCGCGAATTCACCTCTCTGGGCTGGTGTATTTTTGGAATGGAGATGCGCGTATCCCATCCTGACGGCGGTATATGCAAGATGAACGAGATCGGCCAGCTGGAGGTCCGTGGGGCGAATATCTTCTCCGAATACTATAATAATCCCGATGCTACTGCGGGAGCATTCACCTCCGATGGATGGTTCGTGACCGGGGACCAGGCCTTCCTAGATGAGTATCAACGTCTCCACATGGTAGGTCGCGGTAAAGAATCCCTGAACATCAATGGTGTCAAATACTATCCACACGAAATTGAAGGTGCGATCGAAGATGCCAAGATTGCAGGTGTGACGCCGTCGTTCACGGCTATCTTCCCTTACCGTTTGCCTGGCGCCGCCTCTGAGACTCTTTGCGTAGTTTACCTGCCGGCGTACGACTTTGACGACTTGGCTGCGCGCGCCAGTACGCGGAGTGGCATCCGCACTGTTGTCATGAACCATTGCATGGCACGACCATATAGAATCATCCCACTTGACCGCGCTTTCCTGGTCAAGACAGCCTTAGGCAAGCTGTCCCGTGCCAAAATAAAGGCAGCCTTCGAGGCCGGCGCATACGATGCCAGCATTAATCAGGATGAGCAGTTCCTGAGGGCACAAGGCGAGCCAGTTGTTCAGCCAGCTACACTCACTGAGAAAGCTGTACAGAGCGTGTTTACTGAGGTATTTGACACTTCGCGTGACACGCTGAGCATCCACACCAACCTGTTCGATCTGGGTTGTTCATCGCTAGAGATCTTCCAGATGAAATGGCTCTTGCAGAACAAGTCGGATCTACCGGACAATATCCCTATAACCACCATCATCAGTCATCCGACGATTGAGAGACTAGCGGCGGCCCTGGACCCAAATAGTAACAGTCAGCGGTCCTATGACCCCGTCGTGACCCTCCGCACTGGCGGAACCAAGACTCCGTTGTGGCTCGTGCACCCAGGTGTTGGAGAGGTACTCGTCTTCCTCAACCTGGTCAACCATATCACCGATCGGCCGGTATATGCCCTACGAGCACGCGGATTTGACGGTGAGCCATTTTTCGAATCAGTCGATGAAATGGTCGACATCTACCGAGCCGCAATCCAGCGTGTTCAACCAGCTGGACCCTACGCTATCGCCGGCTACTCATATGGCGGAACATTGGCGTTCGAGATGACAAAGCAGCTAGAAAGGGACGGAAATGAGGTGCCGTTCCTCGCCGTCTTCGACCAGCCGCCCCATATCAAGGAGCGCATGTCCGCCGGTGGTTGGGCTGATGTACTACTGACGCTGGCTCGATTCTTCGATCTACTTCCCGACACCCAGGCCGAGGAGACTGTAGCTGCGCAACTCAAGGCTTCTGGTGGTGGACTGCATGATGACGTCGACCAAGGCGCGCTGGTGGATATCCTCTTGTCCTCTGCATCTGAGCAGCGACTAAAAGAATTTGGCCTCGACCGGACCCGTCTAGCGACGTGGACGAGTCTAGCGCTAAATTCACATACTATTGCTCGCGAATATGAGCCTCAGGGGCGAGTTTCTACGCTCGAGGTCCTATATGGGCAGCCCATCGCGGCTGTAGCGCGTACAAAGCAGGAGTGGTTAGATAAGAAGCTGTCGCGGTGGACTGACTTTGTGGATGATGTGCAGTTCCATGAGGTTGGAGGGCATCACTTTACTTTGCTGAGCCCGGAACATGTTGGGTCGTTCTATCGGACTTTGCGCGATAGAATGGAAGCACGAGGGGTATAGAATGAATAGAATGGATATAGAATGGATAGAAGGGACTAAGATCATTTGTTTATTAATCATCATTTTTCACTGTTTGGGTATTCAAGTTGTGGCCCACAAGAAAGCGTATTGGATTTAGAAGTGAATATATTATTCGATATCTATTATATTCAATCTTCTTTTTTTTAGCCATTCATACAGTCCATTTTCCAACCCGTTTTTCTAATTATCCAAAGTATCGTGGACCTATGAGCAAAAATAACTGATTGTCCCTGAAAAGGCAGTTTGATGTCCGGTTTCACTAGGTCAATTTTTGAGCTATTTTGCCATTCCCAATTGTCAATTCCCCGGAATTTACGTGATCAAATCCTTTTCCAAAATCAGTTACACCATGCGAGTTGCAACGGTGGTCAAGGCAAACTTTCGCCAGCCTATAAATGCCCATTCTTGGAGACTACGGAGTAATACGTTCCAATTACCGAAAGTTCTCTAAGATGTTCAAGGTTGTGAATGATTTGGGCTCTATGGTCTAGATAGTGGGCAAGATAAAATAGCTGATTCATAATCCATAAGATCGTTGCATAGTCATGTGGTGTCTCCAGTGTAGAGATCTCCTTATATCATCCACAATAGCTCCTAGCCCACGCAAAACATGTTGCACCTGTCCCATGTCACTCTCTTGATCGAGAATTTTTCGGTCACTTTGGTGCGAACCTCGTATCTGATCTATACTTGGCGTAATTTCCGCCTGCATAAGGGTAGATACTCGCTTTAAAAGAGCCGCCACGGCGAACTCGATACGACTCAGTATATGAAGCGCGAGCATATCACTAACCATCTCCCTCTCATCATCTTCAACGTGATATCCACCGATCTTCATGTCGATAGCGCCCCTCGCAGTATGTGGAATGTGAGTTTGGGGCTGGGAGTGAGCAGGGGTCTGATTTCTATGATCAAGCGCATGTGTACCAATATGGGGGTGTTCCATCGGTATCGGCACAAAGTTGGCATAGCCTTGCAGTAGTCGAAACGTATTTCGGAGGCTCAATGCAGAGAGCAGCATGGCTTCCTCATGCGTATTACCATGGCAGGCGGTAGTACAATGGGTAAATTCCTTTAACGTAGCAAAGGTTCTCTGGGCAGCAGAGAGAAGAATATCTACGGGTAGTGGGGCCCCAATGCATTGTACGCGCCGAAGATGTGACAAAAGACTTGCATGTTGCTGAAGGCAGGTGCAGGTGCATGGGCCAGACGGGCCAAAAAACGAGAGGGAATTTGTTGCGCCCTGATCCGTGTCGGTGTTCCCATTCCATGTCAATGCGTCTGACACAATTGGGGGAATGATAGATGGCCCGGCATGATTTGATTCCATTGTATCCTGTGACGGAAGTCGGTCAGCTTCCGTTGAAGTGAGAAGAATTATCTTGACAGCACACCATTAAAAAGTCCTCGTCTAAGAAATCGTAGCCACCGGAGTCTGAGGATGCCATTGATGCGTCGGGGTCGGCCATGTACGGCATGCACGAGGCTGTAAAGGGACCATTGTCGATCATCTGCCGCGACTCATGGATTTGTCGTGGAAGGGTTGATGTATTAACGTTGTCTTGTGACTTTGTGATCATCGCATTCGATCGCGGCGACTTATTCTTCACACCTTTAGGACGGCCCAGTGGATTGGAGAGGCTATAGGCACAATCAATATCCTGATTTGATAATTGGCAGTTGGCACAGGGCTCTCCCCCAGAACAACGAAGTTTCCTGGTGTGACACTGGTCACAGGCAGATCGGATACGTCTCATTCCTCTGGAAGTCATAGTAGATTTATTTGGTACCTTACTACGGGTAGTCACCAGTGCTTATATTCCATGCGTTCCACATTTCTGGGGCTGTATCACTACTTGAAGCCGTTTTATCTTTTTTTTATTTGTTTCATTTTCTGTGACCAGGGTCAAAGATTTGGTGGCTTGCAGGTTTCGAATGTTTGCAGAATGCTTACTACATTAGTACATAGTAGGGTAAGCCTGTAAGCCCTCGGCCTATCAATCACAGACTCGTTATATGACCAGATCTTACACGAATCTCATTCCGCGTTGAATAATCCAGATCTTGGGATTGTACGAACAAGGATGTGCGGCACGACCCACGACCCCACGAACTATGAGATGGTAGGGCTTCATTGGATCCTGGAAAGGAAACCGAGATCCAGCCGGCATTGGCGATTTGAAATGTCAGCTTTTGATATCGTGTCGTTTTCCCCTTGCCTCCTCATTTTTTCTGCCTCACGTGGCAACGGACTTTTGCCCCTTCATTTCGTCATGCAGCGACTTCAAGAGCGTAAGGCCTTCTAACCCACCAAACTGCGGTAAAAAAAATGGAAGATCAATGATATATCAGAAATTCAAACGGACTTTACGAAGATAAATGCTTCGACCTTGAACACGAGGGAGACTAGCTACTTTTGGACAACGTTGGAATCCACTAGTCCCGATATAGTCACTGGTGACGCTTATAAAAAGACACAGTACCGCGGCACCCGTGCAATGCCACAGCATCTTGCAGATATCTAGATTCTAGGAGTTGTACAGGTACAACTATTTCATACTTTCGTATCTGCCAATCGCCTGGAAGCTTGTGTAATACAACCATGATCCATCTCAGATCTGACGAAACTCTTCTAATGAATCTACCTTGGTAGACAAGTCTTTCAACAGTTTGTGATTTATACATAAGCTCATAATATTCACTGGTATTCTGTAAACAACCTGTAGCCTGATCAATAATCTGTGGTTAATAATCTGTAATTAAGCGTAATTTACTCGTTAGAAATCGGTGGTCAATAGTCAGTAATCTGGTCAGGAATTTGACCAAAGCTGACCATATTTTTCATAGATTGTAGTCGGGAATTACTATTGTTAAATTCTTGATCAGTAGTAAATAGTCAGTGGTCAATGGTAGGTGCTAAACTAGGATTGGACTTTTGATCACACTGTACACATCTCGGAGCAGAAACTTGTCAAAAGCAAGATAGCAAGTGATTTAATAAAGCAGTAAATCGAACGCGTCTGTGTAGAGATACATATCTTTGACATGCTTGTTTCGTAAGAGAAAAGGGGTCTGATGCTTTGCCATAGATTCCGATGATATGGATGTCTCGAAAATCCACAGAGATATGCGTGGTCATTCAAGTCAAGACTCAAGACTCAATTGGCTACCTAGCTATTACCATGCACAAACTTGGGGTTAGGCTTATAGACTAGAATGCCTAGGAATGAGGTGAGGTTGAGAGAAAGTAAATAGTGAGCATTGATGGGGAAGTTACAAGTGGAGAACTTATCATCTTATCACAGTTGGATCAAGTCTAGAACTTCAGAACGGAGATTTAAGTTACAGGTAATAAACTGTGATTATATATGCAAAAGCTTTTGAAAACCTATACATAGACAAAAAAAAGAAGAAAATGAATATAATACCTCGAGCCTTTTATCCTGATAAATGAAATATGAACAGATGGGAATGAACGAAATTAGGATGGAAAAAGTGTAGATCTCACAAGATCGATGGCGCTTCAAATCTCCCCCAATGACAATGTAAAAACAAATTATGAAATAAAATAAAAATTGACACTCTCAACACCATTATTCCGGTATGAACAAGATCGTAAATTCATGGCTCAGATATCGTGAGAATTGGAAACGAATGGACAGAATTCTGAAGAGTCTGGGGACAGCGAAAGGCCTGGCAGGCCCAAGCCACTCTCGGCTGGTTTGATCATGGGAAGGTGAAATCATCAATGCGCACCCAATCTCGAGGCACATCCATGCTGCGGTTGACACGGCCACCTGGAGTAAGAGGTACGTCGACACGGCCTAGCCCCCGATCATCTTCATCGTCGTTCTCCTCATAAAATGAGAGGCGGGAGAAGTAGTCTTCTAAAACTTCTTCTCGGTCACCACTACCAACTATTGAGGTATAGTCTGGGGGTGGAGTCATGAGAGGAGGTGGTGGAGGGAGATCTTCAAAGGCAGGTGGGGCGAACGACGGCGTCCGGAGTAGATGGATGGGGCGAGCGACCGCGGCTTCCCGATCATTAGGTTCATGGGCTATATGTGCTTGCGGTGGGCGAGCCAGGCCTGCAGACCCGTTTGTGAAGCTTCGGGAAGAGGAGTTCAGGGTTGGCGGGTGATTTAGAGTTGAAGAGGAATCATCTCGATCGACGCTGGGACGAGGGTCTCGTGCCACGGGCGCACCGGGACAACCGCATTCAAACTCCTGGGTTGGCGGCTCTGGCTCCATTGCCGGTCTGGTATATGCGGGGAGATAAATGTTTGCCTGTGTGGCCATGCATGAAAGAATGTGGAATGGAGAATCGATGGAGATCTCGAAATGTCTGCGCTTAGTACGGTCCTTCTCGTCGACTTTGGAAAGACGGAGCACAATCTATGAGTGGAATTAGCAAATTGGTACTTCGTGCATAATAGAGAAAAAAAAAAAAGCATGGTCACTCACCTTGATCCAGTGGTTAATTTGGATATTCTCATAAGTGGTGTCAAAATGTAGACGATGAGCTTCGTCCCGACCTTTCATTTCATGACAGCTGGGCAATTGCACATTGAACTCCATTTCAGTCGGACCAACTCCGTGGATTTCACTTCCGAGATTACCCAACAAGTTCGTCCGGCTTCGATCCACGACTTCTTCACCTCTTGCAGCTGCAGCACGCTGGTCCCAATCGATGCCACCACCAGCGGTGATGCGCATAGAGCTACCAGGGTATGTGCTGGTGCTGGCAGATTCAGCTCGCTTTTCAAACAGCAAAACCTTCTTGGCAGGCTGTAGACGGTGCACGCTTTTATCGGCGGTCCAGTGTTGGACGTTTTCCGTCACATAGACCTTGATGCGATGGCATTCGACCTTGGCCAGCGGAGTCAACTTGAACGCAATCGGGATCTGCGAACCCAGCGGGAACGATTTCCCGGAAATAACTATATCATAGTGTAGCTGATCTTCCCAGTTCCGGGAGATGGCAATGGGTTCTACCTGCTCCAAGGAGCCCTCGGCAGGAGTGCGTATGACAGGGATTTCCAGGTTTCCCAGGAGGTTCGGACGGAAAGCACCTGATCGCTCGACGATAGCCTCCAGATCATATCGCACATATCCCAAGTCGGTTTTGATAGTCTCTGGTGAAGACCCGTCTATAGGGAATTCAAAACTGTACAAATAATCACCCACTGGGAACATCCGGTAGCTCCGCTGTTGCGCCTGCGCACCTAGGGGAGGTTCATTTTTGCTAAAACTCCGGGAATGACCGCGGGCGGGTTGCATAGAAAGGCGGGTTGCATCTCTTCCGGTCATGGACAAAGAATTATAGGAGTTACTCTTGGAGAATAGTTCTCGCGTGGTCGCAGATACCGCGTCCTTTCCAACACCCGGCGAGGCTGGTTTAGCATATTGGTAAAAGTGGGCACCGTAGCTGTTGTCCATCAATGCGGTATCACCGTGGTTGAAATAGAGGACTCCATGTGTGAAGAGGTCCTTCTTATCGTGGAAATTGGTCTTTTTGGGGGGAATTCCTACAATCCATAGATGTTAGTGTCGAGTCAATGAAAAAAAAAAAAAAAGCCCTAAGATTATGCGCACCATCTGGCCAGTCTGTTTGGGCTTGGCCACGAAAACAGATGGAGATCTTCTTAATCTTGACAGATTTTGTGACTTTGAGATGTAGTTGACCTCTTAAGATGGCCGACCTCTTTGTACTAGGGTCATTCTGGTCGTAGCCCTGGAGAAATATGACAGGTTCTGTCAAGGCGATTCCCACACTCAAACCACTCCCAGTCGCAATGATTTTCTCACTACGAAGAGGAGGAAATGGAGTAGAGATTTGCTCGGGAATGGTCGGATGGTCGGCTACTCTCCGGGAGAGTGGTCGTGCCTCACCAGAAGCGGTCTCAGGTCGCATTTCTCCAGCAAAGGTGGACCAGTTATCTGGCACCGTCCTTGGAGAAACGATGATTTCTGATACAGGACGAGGGCCTCGAGTACGTCTTGGAACTGGTGCTGGTTGCGGGGCGGGCGGTACTCCGGATGATCGTAAACGAAGAAACCGCTTCGCGTTTTCCCGTGGACCCGCCAGTTTTCCTAATATAGATCGACGAGTTTGTAATGGAAGATCTTTGACTTCAGGACGGCACCAGGCCGAACGAGTGCGGATGATATTTGAGAGGTTGGAAAGAGAGAGTGAGAGAGGAGTGAAATCGGGCGGGGAATCGTCGATGGACAGCGGAACCTGGGGGATGTGAGCCATTGTCGCCATACTTTGAAAACCAAAAAAGATGAAGACGACGACGAAGATGATTTAAGGATCTTCCAGATGTCATCGGGCAGCCTTTGGGCTCATTTTAATATTTATCCTTTTTTTTTTCCTTTTTTGCCTTTTTTTCCCTTCTTTTTATCTTCTTTTTCTTTTTTGCGCCTTGACTTTTTCTTCCCTTTGTAGATCGGATATCGGGAATTGATTTGGGGTTTAAATGGGGAAATGAGAGAGACCAAAACAGAGACTTATACTTACTTATTTCTGACTGAAATTTGTATCCTCCCCCTTTTTTTGACTTAATTTCTTGTGACCCTGCAATGTAGAAGCAAGGAGAGCGTTTGTGACAGAGATGGAATTCTCGGGATGCTGACTTCATAGCACAGGGCACATAATGATCATCACTCCGCAGATCTTGGATGTGAGGCGTCAGATTGGCTGATTTGGGCACAAAGTGGTTCTCTTCTAAGCCGTTAATTTCAGACCGTAATGTGGCTTAACTCGTGAAACAGGAAGGGAAAAATCCAACCTTTTAAAAGCTTTTGATCGATGATGACATGATATTCAGATGGACATTATATCCGGCGATCCGGGCTGGGCTTAGGCTTCCATTACTCCTCTACTCTTGGGCTACTTTCCATTTCTATATCTATCCACCTACCTGCCCCTTAGGACTAACTTTACTTCCAACCTTGGAAGGTTATGTGGGACCCGGAGATTTATAAAGATTCAAGCTGAACCCTATTGATATTCCTATGGGGTAGTTCATACTTTCGAATGTATAAGAAATAGTTAGTGTGTTTTACATTCCTTCTAGAACACGGATAACACGGGATACTGTAGAATTACTGTGGGACATCTATAACGGTTATTACGGCACCCTTTTTTAATAGCAATTGCACGTTGGAAGCTATAGAGGGGATTCTTCAAGTATAAGTTACTAAGTATTATATAATCATACCTTCCAACATGTGGCAATGCCCCAGGTACCTACTTTGTAGCAGATCGTAGATCATCGAGTTTATGACAGCTGTTCTAGTCTGACCTCATTAGGAGGCAAAGGCAAACTTGTTCCACATTCGACGTGTTCCCCATTTCCGCCTAAGAAAAGTTTAGCGTTTATGATAGACCGTTCTTATCATACGAGGTACTACGAGGTACTCTAATTTCCCTCTTCCATCTTCCATAATTCCACCTTCCATAATTCCATAATTCCAGTTATTCTTCTGCTTCCAGGTCGAAGAGTTTCCGTACTTAGTTTGCCCTTTTTCTCTCCACTGATTTATCGTTGATCAGACCACTTGTTAATCCTACGTCATTTTACCAGATTATACATGAACTAGTCCTATACTTGTACTAGCGAGTGACGAAGCCTTTTTGGCGTTCTTAATAAGGTTTATGAGACGCCTTTTACGTCAATTTTATGACTTTTGATCTTTTGATCTTTTAATCTTTTGATCTTTTGATCTTTCTATTTATATCTTCGAGGTCCCATTCTGTCCCCCATGGCTCAACCTCAGAAAATAAGCTAGGTTTGGCACATGGTACTAGACCCATGGACCCAGCAATGATCTCTAGAAACTGTCATGTGTATCAATCAATGTACTTCTGCAGCTGCATGTACATGGTAGATCCTGGCATGATCCGATCATCCGGACCTCAGACAAACCAGTTGTCGTCGAGCTCACTAATATTCATCAAGCTATCCCCTTCCAGCTGATTCAAATCACCTGTGCCGCTATCGAGGTTTTCGTTCTCCATAAACAAGTCATCGAAACTTGATTCACCAGGGCCTAGCATATCATCCATGCTATTTCCTTCGGGAAATGCGCTAGAGTCACCCGTTGCCGAGAGCTCCATGTCAAATGCACCCCCGCCAGCAGGGATATCGGTTGTAGTCGTGGTGGGTCCTGCTGATTGTTGTACCGCATCAGGTTTATCGTTGCTAGTGTTGCCAAATGCCGATCCTGAGAGAAAAGCTTGATTTTCCACATCGTCATCCCCAAAGTCCAGACTCAGATGGAAGGAATTAGACCCCTGGTCGTTTAGAACGGAGTCGAAATTGATTCCATCGTCTGTGAATGTTTGGTCCAATTGCGCTGTGCTATCGACACCGCTTTCTTCTTTCACTTTGACGTCTTCACTTGGTTCGCGTGTTGGTTCGGCTTTGATAGGATCTGATACCTCTGCAGATACATCCACTGATGCTGAATCTTCAATCTTGGCTTCAACGCCAGGCTCTGCGCTCACATCTTTTATGTGAGCATTGGGCGATTGTGTCTCAAGGATCTGGTCTACACCCCCCATGACTACATCTTTTGTAGATTGTGGTACGACCTCTCGGGCCTTGATAGCCTCGTAGTCCCTTTCCAGGAATGCCTTGGCAATAAACTAAGAAAAAATGTCGGTGGCAGGTCAATAGAAAAGACGGAATTCAAACTTACTATTTGCTCTGAAAGATTGTCTAGAGCTTCCTGGAAGCTCTCATGATATAAAGGGATGGAGCGTTGAAGATGGGCGACTGTGGGTATAGAGGCTGATTGTCTAAATAGTCGTCCCGTGTCCACAAGCTAAGGGTCAGCTAGGTCAGTATTGGCGAATGGATGTGTATGTTTTCTTCTGGTGAAGTGATGCGTACGGTTCGCTCCACCAAGGCAGATAGTTCCGATAAAGATTCTGGATTGTCCATGGTGTATATATTAGGTAATTCCCCTAGAATAAATCGAATAGATCGAGTTAATCTGAGTATGTCTGACTAGGTGGGTGTAAAGTAGAGGGAGAGGAGGAGGATAGGACTTAAAAGATGCGGTTGTACACACGGACTGACATAAGCTAATCCTAATTAGGTCAGGTGGGGGAAGAGTGCCCCTAGCCGCTAAACACGGAGAGAGATGGTAACTGTCTCTCCTTCTCTCTCTCCTCTTTCCTTCCATCTTTTGCATTTCTATCTCTTTTCTTCTCGCGGCTCTTCAAAAGCGATTCCGCTGGTATCGGGGCCTGCGTGCTTTAGTTTCTTTTCCTCTTCTCTCCAGCTTTCCTAGCCTCTTTTTCGTTGGATCTATCCAGCGCTCTGCTTCCCTTCAGCTGTCAACGACCTTCTGAGAAAAAAAAAATATTTTCCCCCCACCCCCATCGTCCAACTTCCTTGATCAATCCACTTCTATCTCCATCAATCTGATATTGAATTGCTGGGTATCTTGTCATTCACTGGCTTCTCTTTTCTTTGTCTTTGCTCTTTGTTTGCATTGAGCGAGCTTTCTGGCCTTTGATTGGACTCAAACCTGTCTTCAAGCCCCGCGCCCCTGATATCAGACTTATTGACTTTTTGTCTCACGTTCGCGACTTCTAGCGAATTTTTGCATTGTCCAAGCAACTAGCATTTCTTAACAGCCTTCCGTTTCTGCACTCCGATCTTCCTCATCTTCTTCGAGCCCATACACGATGGCTGAGAACAATACCGCCTCTACTCCCTCATCTCTGCCCTCGGCTCCCCAGCCTGCTCCTGGTGCTCAGAACCAGCAGTATGATGGCGCCTTTGACGGTGCCCCGGGCAATGGTCAAACGAACCCATCCCACATGCCTCCTCCACCTCGCCCGCCGGTCATCATTCCCCAGAACAACAACCCCATTCCTACGGCTATCACATCGCCCATGTCTGCGGGTATGATGTCCCCAACGAGCGCAGGTGGCTACGTTCGTCGCGCTGCGCCTGAGCCAAACAAGAGAGCTTTGTATGTCGGTGGTCTGGACCCACGAGTGACTGAGGACATTCTCAAGCAGATCTTTGAGACCACTGGCCACGTGCTGAGTGTCAAGATTATCCCCGACAAGAATGTGAGTGACAGAAATGATCTGCAGGTGGCAAACGAGCTATGTAATGAACACCACCTTACTGACCTTATAGTCTCAGTTCAACTCCAAGGGCTACAACTACGGATTTGTTGAATTTGATGATCCCGGTGCCGCTGAGAGGGCCATGGCGACTCTAACTGGACGTCGCATTCACCAATCGGTAAGAACTATAACTGATTTTCCTTTTGGTCACTGGTTTTAATTATCCCATTCATAGGAAATCCGCGTGAACTGGGCTTATCAATCCAACACTATCAGCAAGGAGGATACCTCGAACCACTTTCACATCTTCGTTGGTGACCTCAGCAATGAAGTGAATGACGAGATCTTGACCCAGGCCTTCTCCGCCTTTGGAACTGTTTCCGAGGCCCGTGTGATGTGGGACATGAAGACTGGGCGCTCGAGGGGCTATGGCTTTGTTGCTTTCCGCGACCGCAATGATGCTGACAAGGCGCTCAACGCAATGGACGGCGAATGGCTTGGCTCTCGTGCGATCCGTTGCAACTGGGCTAACCAAAAGGGACAACCTTCGATCTCTCAGCAGCAGGCTATGGCTGCCATGGGCATGACTCCTACCACTCCTTTCGGCCACCACCATTTCCCTACCCAGGGTGTGCAGAGCTATGATATGGTTGTCCAACAGACCCCCCAGTGGCAGACCACTTGTTACGTCGGCAACTTGACCCCATACACCACCCAGAACGACCTAGTTCCTTTGTTCCAGAACTTCGGTTACGTTCTCGAGACTCGCCTCCAGGCCGACCGAGGGTTTGCCTTTGTCAAGATCGATTCGCATGAAAACGCTGCCATGGCTATCTGTCAGTTGAACGGTTACAATGTTAATGGCCGTCCGCTGAAGTGCTCTGTACGTCGAATTTCTTACTCAATTTTTTTTTTTTCTTTTTTACTAATTGTCCTACAGTGGGGCAAGGATCGACCTCCTACCGGTCAGTTTGACAACAATTTTGCACAGCAGGGTAATACGGCTGCCTTCAACAACACTACTGGATTCTTCCCCCAATACGGTGGTCCTGCTAACCCCATGAACCAAGGTGAGATCGCAACCTCCGACATCTCTAAAGATCGTCTCTAACCATTTGGGTAGAAGGTGCTGCACCAGCCGGTCGAGGCTGGGACCAGGGTAACAACTTCACTGGCCCTGGTATGCCTGGCCAAGGCTTCCCTCAAGGCAATGCCGGAGGATACGGCCGTGGTCAGGCTATGTCCCCGTCTGGCAACTGGGACCAGTCCAACGCCAACTTTGCTGGAGGCTACCAGGCTTAGTTCTGTTATAGCTTTTCACTAACATCCGGCCATGCGTATGGCTATAGTCAAGTATCTCGGCTTGTGCGGCTCTTAACCCCCTATTCCCCTCTCTTATTTGCAAATTTTTCAACTATTTTTCGATGTGTTAAGTGGATTCTCAAGCGATCTAACTGCTTTCTTTTGAAATGGAATTTGTGTCTTGTGCACCGAATACCCCCTCCAAGTCCACCTTTTTCGATATTTCCCTGATTTCGAGAGTGCGAACATTTCTTCAGCCTCTTCTTGAGTTCTATTCAATGTTCTTAAAATAAAAGCGACCTTGATACTCTCTGCCGTTTTGTGTCGGATCCATTCTTGTCGATTATTTGCTAGTTTCTTTTTTTCCCCCCATATTTCATTTCTCTTCAGTACACGAATTGTGCTGTATGAAACTTTGGTTTTCTTTATTTTCCTTTTTTCTTAGGCTTGTACCTTTCCATTTCCACCCACAAAACAGATGTCTTTATGCGCTTCCATGGGTTTTCTTTTCCTTCTCGGGTTGACAATTCGGTCTGTTTGGAATCTGGGCATTCTTCTCATTCCAAGTATACGTATTTCATGTCGTGGATTTCCTTTCAAGTGCTTGACTTCATTTGATCTCTTTTCCCATCGTGCCTTTGCTGGCGTTCTAGCCGATATACCAATTTGCCTTCAATGCTCTCTTTTCCTCTTTTCTTCCCGATTATGACTTGATACATCTACTTAGGTAGAGTTGAAGAAACATATCTTTGTCATACGATGAATACCCCTGCATTCATGGTTGGTTCCAATGGCTACTGTGGTGTCACACTTGGCTGCTTTTGACCAATCCTCGTCCTGGCCTGCTGCCAGTTGACCGGAATGTATTTTGGTTGCTTCATGACTTTTCATTTCTGCCCACTGGAGGGGACATGGCTGCTCAACTGCGTTTAATGTTCGCTTATTTGTGCTCATGGCCCTAGTAGATTTGAGCACGTAGAGGTAAGTCCGGGTCCTCAATATCCTAAGGTGCATGCCTAGGTAGCCCTCCAGGCTGTATTATGACCCAGGGTAAACTACATTCTTAAGGCCTAGGCCAAGGGTCACTTGACTAACAAGATATATCCTCTTATAAACACTTCCAAGGCTAATTATTCCAGGACCACATCAAAATTTGCGATGATAAGGCAAAAGTAAAGAGGCTACATATCTACTGTGTGTGAAAACCAAATACAGCGTCAAGTGGCAAGAAATATCGTGGAGGTTGAGAGGGTATTTCTAATTTAAGGTTGTTTGTAGTTAGCTCATTTATGACCTGAATTATCGGGCGACAATACTTTAACTTGACTAACGCTTTGCAAAGCAACACCAACTGATCGTCGTCTCTTCTCTTCTATACTTCAATGTCGGGATACTAAACAGCTGCTATAGGTGATGTCCAATTTTTTGCATCTCGCCTGCGCCAGTGGATGATGGCAAATATGCGTAATGCGGAGCTCGTGATCGACACCCTTTCCAATCTCCCTCGATCCAACAGCGCAAGCAACACCCACGAACGAAGCCTCTCGGGCTCTCTCCTCTCAAGAATTTCCTTCCTTCACTTGAACCATCTACCGAACTCTCCACAGGGGCCACGCAATATGGAACAAGCAGGTTTCAACGAGGATCTTCCCAACATACCACAAAATGCGACACAAACGGGTAGCAAGGCCATGGCAGCAGTGATACAACAACAGCGCCGCACGCGACGGCGACGTGGCTCCTTACGCAAGACCGCACTACTAGGCACACGACTAGAGTCCCGCGACAAAAGGGCTATGAGCAAAAATGCCGACTCCATTCGCGCAGACCCTAGCAGACAGCTCGACGTGCTTCGCTTTCCGAAAGACGAGAACACACCACCAGAAAACACCTTCCCAGCTCGAGGCAGCTTCGACGATGACGCCGATGACTCCCGACAAAGCTGGTTTGGTGCCAACACAGGCCATAATATACTCCGCCCGACCATCTCGCGCCGCCACCAGGGTCTCGCACCGCACAACCTCCTAAATGAAGAAACAGCCACCGACGACGAAGACCTCCTCTCTCTTCCCCGCATCAACCCCTCCTCAACCACCAATTTAGCAGGGAAATCCGCCTCTGCAAAAGTCGCCTCCCCAACCGCGCTCCACATCTCAACCGCTGGCTCGGGCTCCTACTTCCCTCCTATCCCCGCCGATACAAGCTACAGACCAGCCCACCGCGCCAAGTCATCCCCCCTCGCTACACACTCAGTAGAAATGCAGAGCAGTGCAGATATAACATGGGATTATTCGGAGACAGAGTGGTGGGGCTGGATTATCCTCATAGTGACGTGGCTCGTTTTCGTCGTAGGAATCGGCAGCTGTTTCGAAGTTTGGAGCTGGGCGTGGGATGTTGGTGAAACACCTTATGCGCCGCCTGAGCTGGAAGATGACCCTACATTGCCTATCGTGGGTTATTATCCTGCACTTATCATTCTCACGGCTGTTATGTCGTGGGTTTGGGTTGTTGTTGCTTGGGTTGGCATGAAGTATTTCAAGCACGCGAATATATCTGGTGATGATTGTTGATTCTTTGTGAGATTTAAACTGATACCCCTGTATAGCACTGTACATACATAGTAATGTTATAATATCCAACCTTCCAACAAATATATAAAACGAGACGACCGAGGACTAGACATTAAATATCACAACCTTGAAATGTTGAAAAAGATGTTATACTTGAATCTTAAAAGCAACTCCCGAAAATTGTAATTCCTGTAACTAATGGTGTCTAACCATGGGAGGAAACAATAACCTTGGAAGTCTTTCGCATAAAAATGAAATCAGATACCCAAACCCGTCGACTCCAATCGTAATATAGTTTTGTCTTATTCAGAAAAATTACCTCCGACGCCTTACGAAAAAAAAATTTGTAGTTTTCTATGCGAAGTCAAACCGGCAACCCATTTGAGCTTAGTGCGATAATGCACATTCGGCGGAATGGCCTAGTCGAGGTGCTTCGGCTCCATCTAGTTGAGATACCGACGATGCGCAAGTCTTGTTGGCATTTGGCGGTGGGATAGTAGTGCCAGGCGCATTGCTGACAAGGCCCTTTGATACCGCATAGCAAGAGGAGCGGTCATGGTTAAGATCCTCGCTATAGAATTCATCAAGAATTGGGTGAAGCAGCACGGTCTGCTTGTGGATTGTAACCACTGAGTTCGTCGGAACTGAAACCCAATTGTCTAAGCTAAAAGTTAGCCGGTGTCATGCACTGAAGGGGAGGAGATATGAAGGAGATATCCTACGTCGCTCGAAGGTAATCGGCTCACTGGCTACCAACACGATATCGGCACCCTTGTCGTGACGCTCCATTTTGAAGTGACCCTTAGTGCTGCCCTCTTTCCACTTCGTACCTGATGAAAAGTACAAACTTGCTGGCTCATCAGTCTTGCTGCTGATGTATCGAGTACAAACAACAGTGTGTCCATCGGTCAAGGCAAAGTTTAGCAAACTCCGCGTCTCGACCCCGGTAATGTTATACTTCTCGGGAATCTGACGCACGAACTCGTTGATCTTGGCAATAGTCTTCATCATCACCCGGCGTAGGAGGGCTTGTCCGAATCCCTCCGGCCCAGGGTCAGAGCTTGGATCTACACCTTCCTTCTCGAGTAGATCAAGGAAGAGCGCAAATGCCCACTCGCTATCAGTGCCACCCTTGACACCCAAGAACCACCGATCCGCAAGTGAGCTTGCGAGGGAACGCTTGATGTAACTAAAACCACCAATGCCGCCGTTATGCATCCACATCAAGGTCTGATGCTGGAACGGATGGCAGTTATTCTCAGCAAGAGCGCCTTCAGTGGTTGCACGCACATGAGCAAAGATAAGATTCGAGCAAGTCTTCGAGGCCAGACGTTCTAGGTTCTCGCAATTCCAAGCCGGAAGCGTGGAAGTGAAAATACACGGCTCAGGTCCCAGCTTGGGGTCTGTGTAGAAGCCTACGCCAAAGCCATCTCCATTGACGGGGCGTCGATTATCCTTTTTCGATAAATTTAGCCCCCACTCGAAATATAATCACGATCCAGAAGACCACGTTTCGGGCTAAACATACCAATCTTAACCGTGAGTCATAGGATTGAGTGAGAATGGAGTGACTAGGCTCTGTGATGAGCTTGCTGAGACGGATCTCATTGAGTCCTTTGTACACCTATCCGTATCTTTGTTAGTCTGTGGCAATGCGGTATATCATTCTGACTCTTCTCTTACCAAGAATCTGCACATATTGAGTGGAGATCGGATGTGACTCTGCGAGATCGTGACAAGTACTAATGTGTCTCTTCAAGACCCAAAGCGTTCTAGAGGGGGTTGAAGTCGTTTTCAAGATGAAAAAAGGAATTTGACTGCCATATAACCACCAGGTGTTGATCCTGCTAATAGTCGGTGAGTCGGGCGTATTTGACAAAATTCCCTGATTGGATATCGTAGATCGTAAAATAGATCTCGAAACAACGCGCTATTATTGCGCCAACAACAAAGGAAATTGAGAAAGGAAAATTCGAAGTCAGGGAAAAAAAAAGGCGAAGTTGAAAGAGAATAGCAGTATATCCCTTTGAACCCTTTTTCAGATCCAAAGATCTCCAAAACAACTAACTCACTGGTGCATCACGTCATTTCAAGATCACGTGATGCAACTACGGGTAGCCAAGCGGTGACTTTGCGCAGGTCATGTTGATGTGGTCATAGCATTTCTATATCTTTCCGACGCCTTTGCTTTGTCGAGCTTTGAATGAGATATTACATCAACCATGAGCGGGAGGATACTCTCCCACCGACTTGCTCCGCTTGTGCGGACTGGCCTGGCCCGACATCTTCATAATGCTAGCTCCAGGACAGGAGGTTTACTTCGAGCTGATGGTGGCGCTGGTCTAAGACGACGCGCTTCTTTTGGTTCTAGTGCTATTCACAACAATGTTCCGGCAGTTCGGGCATTTTCATTTGCTCGGCTACTTCCTAAGCTGGCGCTCAAGCTTGTCCGGGTGCCGGCTATGTTTGGTGGAGCGACCATTGCAGGCCTGGCTTATTTCCAGTACCAAGCAACGCGTATGTATTGTGAGGAATCAAAGAAACTGGCGAGTCACTAACAAAGCTTTAACAGAGGCCGGAAACTATGCGATGGACGTGTTGAGGCAGGCGAAGGATATGGCGGGGAATACAGCATCAGGCATCTTCGACGGCATACAGGACGTGGCGGAAAGGACACGAAACGGCTGGGAAAAGACAACGGGTGATGTAGAATTTCCAGAATGGCTACAAAAAATCCTCCGACTCGACGAAGGTTCCAAAAATGGTGATTCTGGCGGCGGTGGAAAGGAACCTAACGAAGCCCGAGGAATTACGGCGGGAGCGGCTGCAACTGGTGCAGCATATGGCTATGAGAAGTTGGATGATGATTCGAGAGGCGATAAAGAAATTGCCAACGACGATCAGATGATGCTCCTTACTAGAAAGATGATCGAAATTCGGAACATCCTGCAAACTGTCGGCCAGTCTGGGAGCATCACACTTCCGTCAATCGTGGTGATTGGATCGCAATCTTCTGGCAAGAGCTCGGTCCTAGAAGCCATTGTTGGGCACGAGTTCTTGCCCAAGGGTTCTAATATGGTCACTCGGCGACCGATTGAACTAACTCTAGTCAATACCCCCAACGCTCAGTCAGAGTATGGTGAATTCCCGGCTCTCGGACTTGGCAAAATCACCGACTTTTCGCAAATCCAGCGTACCCTAACTGATTTGAATCTGGCGGTACCAGCGAAAGACTGCGTTTCCGATGACCCTATTCAGTTGACCATCTACTCTCCGAATGTCCCGGACCTTTCTATGATTGACCTCCCGGGATACATTCAAGTAGCGGGTCATGACCAGCCCCTAGAATTGAAGCAAAAGATTACTGATCTCTGTGACAAGTATATTCAAGCTCCCAACATCATTTTGGCTATATCGGCCGCCGATGTCGATTTAGCCAATTCCACTGCCCTCAGGGCTAGTCGTCGAGTGGATCCTCGTGGAGAACGTACTATCGGTGTGGTCACTAAAATGGATCTCGTCGATCCTGAGCGAGGCCACGATGTCTTGACTGACAAGAAATACCCTCTTAGACTTGGATACGTCGGAGTTATCAGCCGAGTCCCCCAGACAAGCGCTCTTTTCTCTCGAGGCTCTGTAAATATAACCACTGCCATCGTCAAGAACGAGAACGCCTTCTTCTCTAATCATCCCACCGAGTTTGGCGCTCAATCTGAGACTTTTGTCGGAGTTTCTACGCTTCGCAAGAAATTGATGCATGTCCTCGAGCAAACCATGGCATCTAGCCTCTCGGGAACAAGGGATGCCATTGTTCAAGAGCTCGAAGAGGCATCCTATGAGTTCAAGGTTCAGTACAACGATCGGCCTTTGAGTGCTGAATCTTACTTGGCCGAAAGTCTTGATGCTTTCAAGCATTCTTTCAAGGCATTCGCTGAATCCTTTGGTCGACCGCAGGTGCGGGAGTTGCTGAAAGCCGAATTGGACCAGCGTGTTATGGACATTCTGGCACAGCGCTATTGGAACAAACCTGTAGAGGACTTGAACCCGGCCCTCCCAGACCTTGACCCTCTTAAAGACCTACCCAAGGCCGATCCTGACTCGTTGTATTGGCGCCGAAAGCTTGACGCTTCTACCTCTTCACTCACGAAGCTTGGAATTGGCAGACTGGCCACTACTGTTGTTGCCAATGCTCTCCATAACCACGTGGAACAGCTCCTCGCAACCTCTACCTTCGCTTCCCATCCAAGCGCGCACAAGCAGATTATTGAGGCTTGCACAAGCATTCTAAATGATCGTTTCTTCAGTACCAGTGATCAGGTAGAGAACTGCATTAAACCTTATAAATATGAGATCGAGGTTGAAGATCCTGAGTGGTCCAAGGGTAGGGACAGCGTGAGCAAGGTATTAAAGGAGGAGCTCCGCGCATGCGAAACAGCGACGAAGCAGGTGGAAGAAGTTATCGGAAAGCGGAAGCTCAACGATGTGATGGCGTTCATCGACAAGGTCAGGAAGGGTGAGGTTGTCCTCGAGGGCAATGGATCTGGTGGTGCTGGTGGCTTCAGTGCTGCCCTTTTGGAGAGAGGTAAGTCGCGACCCTTACAAAACCCTTCAACTACCAAGACTAACTTAATTTTTCACTGAAGGTCGGGAAGGTCTTTTCCTTCGTGATAGAGCCGATATAATCAAAACAAGGCTTTTGGCCGTTCGCTCCAAGCAGTGTGCCTCACAAAAGAATAAATACTACTGCCCTGAGGTTTTCCTTGACGTGGTAGCAGACAAACTTACTTCTACGGCGGTTCTCTTCCTGAATGTTGAACTACTGTCCGAGTTCTATTACAACTTCCCCCGTGAACTGGACATGCGTCTCGGTCGTCACCTTTCCGATGAGGAAGTCGAGCGTTTCGCCCGTGAAGACCCTCGAGTTCGCCGCCATCTTGATATTATTCGCAAGAAAGAACTTCTCGAGCTGGCCCTTCAGAAAATAGAAGGTATCCGCCAGCTAGATGGCCGCAAGATGCATCGCAGCTCAGATCGCCCGCAACCTGGAAAGGAGACCGGCAGTCGTTGGAATATCTTCTGAAAAATTACTTATGACTGGCTGATTTGTTGCAATCTTTCCCCTTCCTGTGTCTGTTTCGATACCTATTACATTTCCTACTTGTAACACCTTGATGCCTTCCGGTTGTTTCAGTTATATTCCCCTCCTTCACTTTTCTGCTTCTCCGCTCTGGATATGATGCATGTCTTTGTCTAGATGGGTCCACCTTTGTACATATCTCATCCTTGGATTTCAACCCTGGTCAAATGGTCTATCTCGTGAATCTATCTTTGTATACACTAGTATCATTAATACACTGAATAGCTCATCGCCTCATCTCAAGCACCGGTAAGTCATGAAACAACCCCAGGAATCTTCATCCTCTCCGCATATTCAATGAATCGTCTCCAGCCGTAACTGGCAATCTATCGAGGAGACTCTTTACTATATCCCAAGAAACAAGGGTGTCTCAACAGACAGGGCTCTCTCTTGGACTGAAAGAGAAATCTGTCTCTGACGCCGTTACATCATTTATACACCATAGGGATATTCGATCGACCAGGTCAAGCAGCCGGATCCAGATCCTCTAGCAGTACAGCACATGTGTCTATTGGATTAATCACCTTCACTATTGCTCTCTTAGAAAAAAATGCTAGTAAAGATCTGCAGGAGACTGGTTCAGTGAGCAGATTCTTCCAGAATGACTACCTTCATTGGCTTGAGGCTCTTAGTCTTTCAAGAAGCTTATACCATTGGCCATAGCTAATTGGTCGACTAGGTCTTCTCCCGTGGCTGTAAGCTCCTCGCCTCAGCTGCATTTGACCATTCTATCATGGTGTGGGATGCTAGTGGTGGTCAATGCCTACAAATTCTGGAAAACGTCACTCATGTGAAAGCATTCGACATCACCAACTCATATCTTGAACCTGACTCCGGTACTGCATGTTTGTCTTTTGCTTCAATGGAAGCACCGACCACTATAAGCCCTGGGATACTGCGATTTTCAGGATGCAATATCAGTTCCGATGATGTATGGATCACTTGGGACTCAGGGAATGTATTCTAGTTACCACCAGAGTACCGCCCAGTTGCTTTTGACATTTCAACACCCGACATACGCTTTGCTTATGCTTCGGACGGCTATTATGAATCACTTTCGATATCCCACGACCCTTACATGTGCTTGCAAAGCGCTGATTGACCCATATATCAAGCATAATTTACATGATATCAATCAACCTCTAGAACTCTTGGAAGCTGATATATAACCCTAGAGGATTGTACTTAATATACACCAGATTATTTAGTGATCACTATGTCAGGCCCCCGTGTTTGGTGGCTGAATTGATCATGCCAAAACTCCAGGGCGGTAATATATCATCGCTTCCTACCTTGGACTGTTATTATGTGAGGTTGCACTACCCCTTGCGCACGTGCATAGTTATCTGGGGCGGATTTTATGCATGTAAGTACTCCAGGGATTTTATAACCGAAAGGATTCCCTGCCGAAATATGTATTGTTATTCCAAGGCTCACCTGGCAGCCTTATGGATCCTCTCTGGCACTCGTTCAGTCATATAAGATTCTTTTCCTCGGGCACACGTCAGGTCGAATACAATCTTAGCCTACCTATGTGTTCCACCTCGGTACATCATATGTAATATCTTTTTTTCCAAAGTTTTTAGATGCCTCACTTCGCGTTCGCGGGTTCATACCTCAGGTTTACAGGAGGATTGCTTCTCTTCCATTCGTTGCTACCACAATTACCATACTCCTTCCAGGTAATTAACTTCCTATTTAAGTACATATTTAGCTGGGTGTCTCGCAGTTCGATGCTTACATTTATCCCCTCTTATGCCTTCGGGCTCCACCTTTTGGTGCCCTTTGATGACTCAATTCATCGATCGTCTGGGAAATCTACGCCGTAATGTGGCTTGCCAAGATCCACTTCCTTCTAGATTGGGTCTATGGGTCTTTTGAAGCATAGTGTTGTAGCTTTTCCACATTTATATCCATCAGTGTGGCGATGATGAAATTCAGGATCTTAAAGGCTTCCTTCACTCGGGTGTAACATGAATAGAAGTACTCAAATTAGAACGAACAATCCTTCATGCGCCCAATTTGTCGTATAAATGTTATAGGTTTTGAGAGAGCGATCATCCACGATCAAAGCGGGACCGATGTTCTCGGAGTTTCAGAACTATGGGGGCCATCAGAGTTGTCTTTTCATAAAAGTACACGTTTTCCTAAAATAATAAAATTTTAGTGAATTGAAGTTGAATCAATTCATCGTCACAGCTGTTCCTATTATTATGGCTTATTCTGGACTGAGGTCTTGGCTAGCCCTAACCTTCCTATTATTGAGCTGTTTGAAGACCTGCTTTGCATTTGATCCCCGAACAAAATGGGCATGGACGGACATATCTTGCGATAGACATCTAAATGATCTTGAGGATGCATGGAATGAGTATAGAGCTCTTGCAATCGCCGCTGATAATTCTTTGGCAACAGCCGATTCCATAACCAAAGAAACACGACAAAAATTGTTCAACCCGGCTACCTCAGACGATATACAAGAACTACGCAGTAAGCTGCTCATATCTCTCAAAAATATAACAGAATCTAACTAAGATGGTCCCAAAGATAGATTTTATACAATGAGGGTGACCGGTCAGTTGAATACGGTATTGCCATACTACCTGTACTGTGACTTTTCTGCCTTCCAGTATGTCCGTACAGCCAACGGAGTAAACCTTGCATCAAACCGTAAGATACCCCTGAGTCAAGCTTTTGGCTATTATCCATACAGAATACTAGATGACTTACTAACCTTGGAACGTCTATATAGAGCGCTACTGGCTTGCCAGAAGATCTCCACCAGGTGTCACCGTAAAGATTAAGGCGTCTTCAAGTGAAGATTTATGTACCGGGGGAAGTGATGGCGGCCTAGATGGCTTTGCCAGTCTGAGCAATCAAGTAATTGTGCTTTGTGACAGCATCTGGGAGCTGGAGCCGGAGCGGTATGCGTGTGATGAAGAGGTTGTGCAACGAACCGGCTATAACATTGACAGAATGAAGACTATTGGATCCAGTCTTTATCACGAGATCACTCATCTGCGACTAGGAAGTAAGTTCAGTCACATATCTCTGGTCGTTATACAGTTTCGGAGTTATTTTACTAACCTATGCTATCTTTGTAGCTGAGGACGATGCCTATACGTTCAGTGACTGTCTTTACATTGCTCGACAAAGTTTTGACACGGCTAGGGATAATGCTAACTCTATGATGTGGTTTGCTATCGGTATGTTCATTCCCTTGAAATGTTGACATTACTCCTAGCTAATATCAAACACAGCATCGCTGTATAACAGGAATAGGTGGTATACCGGAAGGGCAGCGCCAATCAGGTAAGCTCTGCTGTAGCTTGTTTGGGTATCCAGGTGGTAGAAAATCATGATCCAGACACTTAGGTGTTCATACCTAGGTAGGTAGTTGATCTGAATTATGTCCGGACACGTCTGGGCTACCTACTTAGGTAATGTATATATAGGGATATCAAGCCCTGGCGGTAGACACCCATAGACCTGCCACCCTCCATTTTGATAATTTTATGTTGTCGAAGTTTCTCGATTTCCTTTCTATAGATTTGCTTTCCGAGTCTTATATAAGATAGAAGTTGACAACCCTGAGAAAATTTCCAAAGTTCCGATCATTCCAAAGCTGTCCCATATAGACGGTCTCCAATGTCGCCGATTCCTGGTTTAATATAACCCTTCTCATCAAGATCTTTGTCGATGGCTCCCACAAAGATTTGAGTACCCTCTGGCCAAAAGTTGGCCACTTTTTCAAGGCCAATATCGCTGCCAAGCAGAGAAAATAGTGTGATCTTCTCAACACCCCAGTCCCTGAAAGTAAAACTGTTAGAATATGCGTAGAAGCGTAGAATCAAGGAAGGGGAAGGTTTTGATTGGGTTATCTTCGAACGTACTTCAAAATGTCGATTGCCGCCTTTGCAGTGCCTCCAGTAGCCACAATTGGATCAAGAATGTATGCCCTTTTGATCCTGGGGTTTTTGTGAGGAAGTTTGTTATAGTATTCAACGGGCCGGAGTGAAACCTTTTCCCGGAAAAGGCCAATGTGGTAGGTGACAGTATCTGCGTCTTCGCCGAGGGCTGCTAAGAATGGATCCGCCATGGCCAACCCAGAACGCAAGATAGGAATCACCGCAATCAATTCTCCATCAATGGGGTCTTCTAGCACATGCTTAGTGAGGGTCGTGGTGAGCTGCCCCACGAGTCGGCGAACAGCACCGGTTTTTAAGGAAAGGTCTCGAAGTTGTGATAGGATCTCTGCTCCTTGAGCATCTTTAATGAGGGTAATATTTGACGCCATATTGATGAAGATTTGGGCCTTCCTAATAATTTGAGGACCAAATTAGACGGGAATCGGAAAATGGGAAATGGGATTTTCAACTTCGGAGTGATGAAGTTGGAATCATATATGCGGTCATCCCTACGATAACCCTGTTTTAGATAACATTGATAAGAATCAAGATATGGGGGATAAGCTGCTCAGAGATAAGAAGATAGACACTATCGATAAGCTGATAAGAAGTAAAATGAACTGCTTTATCGACGCTTTAACTATTATCAGATATCGGATAAGAAACAGCTTCAAGTCTTCTGGGCATAGAAAAGACCCGGAATCACACTTTTGACCTTTTCAAACTTGACTCCCCATACAATCTGAAGTATTGATTATCAACCTGCCATCACCAAATCATCCATATGATGCAGAACTGTCCCAAGGAAGGCACGACTAACGGGGACATGGTCGACTCTAGACGAATGTACATACTGCCCCAGAAGAACCACTTGTTAAGCTTGATGACAATACTTCGTGATTCGAATACTACCTCTACGAGATTTGCGGAAGTGGCCGAAAAGGTAGGAGATCAACTTATCAGCGCGGGTGCGTATTCTAAGTTTTGATGTTGGTATATGGGAACTTTTGATCTGACCTGATATCAGCATTGGACCTTCTTCCATTTGAGGCTTCAACAGTCGTTAGTCCAACTGGCTCTTCATATCATGGAGTGCGTGAGGCCTGTCTTTTATGTGGTGTGAGCATACTTCGTGCAGGCGCAAGTCTGGAAAATGCACTTCGACGTGGATACACGTATGAATCTTCGAAAAGTCCTGCCTGTAATACCTGTTATCTGACCTTTCTTCAAAAAGCGGACCATATAATTTCGGCAAGATATTGATTCAGCGTGACGAGAAAACATCGCTCCCAACTCTATTCTACTCAAAGCTACCGCCAGATCTCGCATCTCGAAGTATGTCCTTGTTATGTGAAGCTTTGGTGAATCTTGACTAATTTCTGGATCCATAGAGGTGATATTACTTGAGCCTATGCTAGCTACGGGAGGCTCTGCATGTGCAGCTATTGACCTCATTAAGAATCACGGGGTTCCAGAGGAAAATATCATCTTTGTCAATATTTTGGCTGCTCGAAATGGAGTGGAAAAGTTATTTGAAAGCTTCCCCTCGATCAACCTCGTCACCGCTGCGGTGGATGAAGAGCTTACACCATCTAGGTGAGTACCAACCGACTGAATTATTGGTAGAGTGGAGCTGATATGTGACAGCCACATCAACCCAGGACTAGGAGATTTTGGGGATCGGTTCTACGGAACCGAAGAATGACTCAACTTTGTATTAAATCTTATGTCTGATTTTATCATTGTAGCATTGTGTCTGCTGTTTTTGATTGTAATTTTGGAATTGCACGGCTGGAATTGTCTTTTTGTCCAAGTTTTGAGCCAGCATAGGTATAATGCCATTTATATCTACTTATTTGTTCATATAAAATCCATAAAGTTTAAGATCATAACCTTCGAATGGATGAAAATCAATCGACCGTATTCCATGCCAAGGGATCAAGGGTCACCTAGCCCTGTACCTACCTAGGTAGGTACTTAGGTATGACAAAGCTCGAAAGTTCCCCTAGATATTTGGACGAGTTCCCGAGATCTTCTTATCGCTTGGGCAGTAATTCAAAGTAAAAGTAGGAGAATTACTCAAATTTATGAGATGGGCCCGGGTATTGCGATATTCTAGAGCCTTGGAAGGAATTCTTACGAAACATCTGAATAACTAGGAAAGGTGCGATTAAATTTGGAGGCAATATTGAAACTTGATTTGAGAAAATTCATGTTCTTCCTTAACTACAGAAGGGGTTTGAGAAACTAGAATAACGTTCCATCTCCTTCCATCAGAATTGGACTGGACTTTGTCTGAGGGCGGAGCTTTGCTGCAAGCTCTCTTCCACCCTTCCACGAGCCAGCTTCCAGCATTTGCGGCATATTCAAGTTAACACCTTGTTGAGCAAAGTGCTCACTAACAAGCTCATGAAGTTTATCAAGCAATGCCACTGTCATAGCCCGCCATTCAACAATTACATCACTGGTAGCACCGAAGCATGGAAGATCATTCTTTGAAGTCTCCAATCCTTGTTTGAGGGCGTCATCTTTCAATGTAAGAACACCTAAGTCCACAAAAAGGCCTCCATTTCGATACTCTGGTAGACCTGTTCCCCGGTCCAGGTTCTTCCACTTCCGACCAAGAATCCGCATGAAAGGTACAGAAAGAGAGTATGCCAGCCATTGGGTTAACTTGTGGAATGGTTGAATATTTTGCGTGCCATTTTCACTCTGCTTGCTGGCATTGATCTTTGCGAGAACTTCTAGAGGCCAGGCGTCTCCGATGGGAATTCCTGCAATGCGGGTTCGATCCGCTGGCCAGGCAGGGAGCAGAACATCTTGCAGAATTGACCATAGATTGTCATAGTTTAGTTCATCTGGCTCGGTTCCTTGTTGAATTATATAGTCTGCATTCATTATGTGAGCGAAGTAAAATGATACAGAGGGTGCAAATCAAACTTACCTACTAGATTTCCGGGTCGGCCATTCTCACCAAATATCTTTGGGAGGCTCAGCAAAGACAAGCCAACACTGTTCAATAGGCTGACACGAGATGTATCACCAACAATTTGGTTCTCAGTGGTAATCTGATAATGTTTTCTAAATGTCTCGATATTCAGAGCAGCCAGGCCATGTCCTAGAAAGAGGTCAGTTCCATTTCTGATATGATGTCCATAATCCTTCTCACCATCCACAAATTCCGTGTCAGCCAATTTCTGGCTCGAGAAAGCCCCATCTCGGAACATATACAGAGCTGAGACTGCAATTCCCTCACTCCTTCCGTAGACTTCGCCGGTCACAGGCTCAGTGAAAGTCCAAAAATCTCCTGCACCCGCATCAAGAAGAACAGAGACAAAGAAAAGATCGACGAGGCGACGTGTAACCTCGAGCTCGTCGTACCCCCTAAGTTGCCACGTTTTTATAAGATCATTGATTCGAGGAAAACCACCAACGTCGAAATGCTGCCAGCGACCGTGAGGGGGGATTTGGTCGAACTTGTCCGGGCCAAAGTCTCGCTGTGATGTTGCTGTTTAGCCATTATTTTGTTTGCGGTCTTAATCAGTTCATAGATTCAGACGTACTTTGATGATATTGGCAACAAATTCTGCAGCCTCTGGCATTCGATCAAAGTGATAATTGAAGTGAGAAAGCTCTCCCTTTACCCCGGCTTCCAACACCAATTGGGCTCGCTCACGCACAGCCTGTAGGCTCTTCAGATATTCGATATCTGCCATTGATGACTTTTCCAAAACTGTTGCTTTCTAGATTATCTGTGAATAATGCCTCTGCTTTGGGACTTTTCAATTGGGCGTTTCAAGAGAGCAATGATCAAGCATTAGGTCATTGAGGGGTATACAAATATTGATATGACAAGGGTGATAAGGCGATAAGATAGCGATCGTGGGTTCTTATCCTTATCATATCCTTTATCAGCTTCTGATAAAGCTCTTATCTCTGTTCTAATCTTATCGTCGACTGTAGATCGAAGTGAGGGGGATACTCACTGATGTAATACGTTGGGAATTCTATTATAAAGCCTGCTTCCATGGTACCCAAAACAATTCAACGTTTACATTATTCCAACTATTTGTGATACTTGATTCCATTAAGGTCCACATAATCAGCATAATGACTACCACAAAACCTGAGACCACCTCATCAAGGGATGAAGGGCGTATTATTGTGAGTTCTAGCACCTCCAGTAACTGCAATTGCCACAATGCTAACAGCACAACTCAGTTGACGACATACCCTGGTCAGAGCGTCGTGGACCCAGTACCCCTGGAATGGGGTAAAGCAGATCCTCAAGAACGAGGGCCGATTCTCGTTTCCCGCAACTCAGAAACTATCAAACGACGAAACGCCATCGGTGCCCACGGCGGTAGCTACTCCATCTACAATGCCCTCGCAATTGCAGCGGGTGACCTTCCTCCCAATTTCAAACCTAGTTTTGAAAACACCCAGCCTATCTTTGACTTCCCCTTCCAGCCCGCCTGGGGCGACAAGAAGAAGATCGTTGCAATGGACCCCTTCGGCCACGACGTTGTGCGACATTTTCACAAATATCTCGATGCAGGCCTAGATGTCAGACCTACAATCGCCGTCACAAGGGCTACTATGCGCTTGGCTGAGATCACCGAGGCTATTAAAGAGGGCCGGCTCCAAGTTGACGGTGAAGTCGTAATTAGCCGTGAAGGTGACGTCCGCGTTACGAAGGCTGCTGTCGAGCCCGTATGGTACCTACCAGGTGTGGCTGAGCGATTCGGCATCGACGAGGGTGTTCTCCGCCGGACGCTCTTTGAGCAATGCGGTGGAAGTTTCCCGGAACTTATCACGCGGCCTGATATTAAAGTGTTCCTTCCTCCTATTGGAGGCCTGACAGTTTATATCTTTGGTCCACCGGAAAAGATTTCCGACGACAAAGTTAAGCTTGCTCTACGTGTTCATGATGAATGCAACGGTTCAGATGTTTTCCAGTCTGATATCTGTACTTGTCGCCCATACCTGGCTTTTGGTATTGAAGAAGCTATCAAGGAAGCCCAGAATGGCGGATCTGGAGTCGTAATCTACTTCCGCAAGGAGGGTCGTGCTCTAGGTGAAGTGGTTAAATATTTGGTATATAATGCTCGCAAGAGAGGAGGTGACACTGCTGATAAGTACTTCACTCGTACCGAGAATATTGCTGGAGTGAGAGATGTAAGTTCTCCAAATTGTCCCTTTATCCTGCTGCAATACTAACATATAAACTAGATGCGTTTCCAGGCTCTCATGCCGGATGTCCTTCAATGGCTCGGTATTAAGAAGATTGACCGCATGCTTTCCATGTCCAACATGAAGCACGACGCAATCGTAGAGCAGGGAATTCCAATTTTGGAGCGAATTCCTATTCCTGACCGTAAGTTCAAATAGAAAACTGACCTCCCAGAATATTATGCTAATAAGGCCGGATAGATATGATTCCTGAAGATTCTCGTGTGGAGATTGATGCCAAAATCAACGCAGGATACTTTACTACTGGAAAGAAATACACCGACGAGGAACTGGCCAAGGTGAAAGGTCGCGGATGGCAAAACTGGGAGGATGTCGAACACTAAATATCCGGTCACATCTTTTATCAGGGCCAAGGCCAATATAAAAATGACAAAATGATATGAAGTTCGGTTCAAAGTGTCTCCTACCTTGGTAGTAAATTCTATCTAAGACATATAGCTTGTAAATAGGCTCCGAGACGTTCGATCTAAAAGCATCAATTCTTATACAATTGAAACATTCCATGATTTGAACTCAATTTGCACTGCAGTGCTTCCTCTTGTTTCGATTTGAGAATGTAATATGTTAAAAAAATTATTAACAAGACAGCCGAATCATCCATATCTCACATGTATAGGAGCCAGGCCAAACCAGTCATCTGTAGCCAAAGATTCATCCGGGGTAGCATAGTTAATAATAGTACTCTTCATCCTCGTATACGCATGAAGAGCCTCGACCCCATTCTCGCTCCCAACACCACTAGCAGTCTTCGCCCCTCCCCAAGGACTACTAGGGTCATTTCGATGATGAGTGTTCACCCAAACAATACCAGCTTCGATTTCCCCAGAAACGCGGAAAGCCTGAGAAAGATCTTGAGTCCAGATACTCGCGCCCAGTCCAAATTCAGTGTCATTCGCCAGCGCGATCGCCTGTGCTTCTGTGTCAAACCCAATAACGACAATCACAGGTCCAAATGCTTCTTGACGCCAGATAGACGATTTCAATATACTGTCTGTCCCGTTTGCTGAGGCGAGGATTGTTGGTTCGTAGAAATATCCTTTTGAAAAGTTGAATCCATCAAGAGCACTTGTGTATGTCATGCGTTTCCCACCTGTGATCACTCTTGCTGTGCCGTCTGATAAAGAATCATCGACCAGCTTTTCCACACCTTCCAGCTGTCGGTGCGAGATTAGTGGACCCATCATTGAATCTGGGTTGCTTGGAACTCCCATTCGATCTGGAATTGTCTCGATCTTGGTTTTCAGCTTTTGAATCAACTCTTTCAAGATTGCATTGTCCACAATAATTCTTGTACTTGCGATGCACGTCTGCCCACTGGCGATGAAGCTTCCGAATGTGACACCATTGACAGCGACGTCGATGTCAGCATTTTTGAAAACGACTAGGGGCGCCTTTCCTCCTAATTCTGCAGTGTATTTTGCTAGGTTTCCACCGACTATTGAGCCAATTGCTCTTCCGGCTGTTGTCCCACCAGTCACATCCACCTTTTGCACAAGAGGGTGAGATACGAGTAACTTGCCAGTCGTTGCACCATAACCAGGAAGAACGCTGAGAACCCCGATTGGAATTCCCGCTTTGTGAAGGATCTTGGCAAGCAACAGAGTCGTCAACGGTGTTAGTTCGCTCGGCTTGATGATAACGCTGTTTCCTGCCGCGAGAGCCGGAGCCAGCTTCTTCACTGCAATCAACAGTGGATGGTTGAAGGGGGTTATCTGCACAACAACCCCGAGTGGTACTCGATCTACAAAGTTGTGCAGTTTGCCAGTAGTTGGAAGAACGGCTCTTTCTTCAACGCGGAGCAGTGAAGCGTAGTATTTGAACCACTTCACGAGAGACGGTATTTGAGCCTTCATCTCTTTTATTACCCGGCCAGTCTGTTTTGACTCCAGTGCAATAAGTTCAGGTAAGGCTTCTGTGAGTAGAATGGCACAGTTATCCAAGACATCAGCTCTGTGGTGATGGCTAGCGCGCGACCAAATGCCAGACTTGTAAGCCAGGTGTGCAGCAGAAACAGCATCATCAACATCTTTCTCAGAGGCTGCGTGGCATCTGATATTCCTTAGCTTGCTGTATTTACATCCATCAGGTTTATCTTACTCTGCAAATATCTCCCCAGTTGCTGGATCTTCAATAGGGATTCTTGGCACAGTTAGCCACGTCTCTTATCATCGGGGCTTCCGAGGCTCACAAAGGTGATCCTCCTGGTTGCTCCTTTCCAGCCAACCATAGATAATACTCGTCTGACATCTTGTTATTAATTTGAAAGGGGATGATCAATGGCTTGCGTTGTCTACTAATGATTCGTGGGGTGCGGGAGAGAAAATAGCTTATGTCGAATCAACAATGGACTTTAGATATCAGAATATCATTCGATTCTCAAATCTGTGGCCAACAGTAAGCTGATACGATAGGACAATACCAGGGATCTTGTCAGAAGGATCCGAGAAGGGATAAGATGAAGGCGGGCGAGCAAGAAGTACAATCCCGCCCCCGCTCGTACTTCCACGATAACAGATGCAACGTCCTTATCCGTATCTATAAGAAAAATAATAAAAAATAGGAAAATAAGAAATCAAGAGAGGAGGTCATCGACAATGGTATATTCAAAACAAACACTATAGACAGTGAATTATATCTATCTAAGTAAATCACATCATAGTTTCTCTGGCATCTTCTCGACAGTCACCTCGTAACACGTTTCCTCATCATTAGAAAATGGCGAGTCATGAACACCAGCCTCTGGCGCTAATTGCTCGAACGCATATCCCTGTTCTTTGATAAACTTTTGCTGTTCGGTTGGCCAAAACGTGCAGATAACGTAGTAACAGACGAACGAGATGGTGAAAGCCAGAATCCACGCAATGTCCATCAGGTGTTCTGCGGCCGCAGAGACGTTCGCTCCAAGCTCTCCGCAGAATCCAGGGAAGGGAAGGGCAATGCCGATAATATAGGCAATCAGAGCCTGGACGTTCCATCCGCGGTTGTAGTAGTAGTTTTTGTTGTCCCTCTTCGGATTGTACAGTGCGCGGGTCACAACGTTTCCGTTCGTCAGCAAGAAGTAGTCACAGATCATAATTGCGACGACACTGGCCTGTATTATTGTTAGGATTTATTTAAAGCAGACATGAGGGGCAGGTCATACCAAGAACAAGCCGTATCCGCTGAGGAAAGTCTCAAACTTCGTTGCTGATACCAGAATTTGCCAGGGGCATGCTGCCCACGCCAGGATCTCGACGAGGAACTGACCGCGGCGCATGTTAAGATATCTGGGACAAAGCATGGCCGCATCGGAACCGAATGAGATCATGTTTGCGGCAATGTTTGTACCCAGAATTTGGATGAACCATGCTACTGCGCAAAGGAATACGGCGAATCTGACCTTTGGAGACCAATAGTTATCCAAGATCAATCCCATCATGTCCCATTGATTCCTTTAATCCTTGTTAGTCTTAATTTCAGACAAGGGAAAATTAGGGACCTGTACCATGTGTCGGCATTGAACTTCACGTTCACAGCACTTGTGGCGAGGATACCGAGAGTAGCAGAAAATGTCACTGCAAAGGGGTTGATGAGCTGCAAATTGTCAGTTAAATTGATGGAAGCTTAGGACTGTAAAGGGGGTAGAACTCACTAGCTGGGTCCAAATTGGTGCATTTCGCTTGTAAGTCCAACGAGCGTAATCAGGTTGGTTAGTGATCAAAGTCGCAGTGTTACTAGTACCGGTTAAAAAAGACCGTATAAATCTGGCATCGTTTATACATACCCCAATCCACTGTTAATACCAGCGAGAATTAACCAAGCCAAGCTACTTGAAGAAGAGGTAGACGTAGAGTAAATACTTCCGATGTGTCCCTTGGTGTTGACCATAGCCCAGATGAATAGACCGATGATGGCCGGGAACGAGACGGCAGTTTTGATCACAAAGAATATACGGAGTTGGTACGGTCGGAAGTGGCAGAAGGGCAAGTGAATCAGCCAGGCAATGAAGAAAGCCAGCATGAGAGAAGTAGTAATGCCAGCACCTGTAGGAAGGTGATTAGGGATATCGGTGAAGTGGTGTCCAAAAATAGCTCGCATGATGATGAACATGTACTCGGCGCCAGAATACACTAAATTCAATGTTAAAATGATACTCACATTGAATGAACATCTTGAATATTGGGACTTACTCTGAACCGAATACCAAATGACCGCCATCAAAGCTCTCGCAGCGACGAAGTAATAGCTTCCCCACATACCAAAGACACTGCGGGCAACAACGGGGTATCCAATATGATAGACAGATGCTGCACGAGAGTTGAAGGCCATAGCGACAGAAGAGATCAGCTGTGAGATGAAAATCACAATAATAGCCTGCCACCAATTGAGACCGATTCCAATCATTGTCTAGGTATATGCAATTAGCGAGTGATTACCGACGGGTATAACTAACAACTTACAGATCCTAGTGTCCAATTTGTGAAGGAAATTGACCAGTAGAAGGTACAGTAGTTCCACCAACGCCATGCTGTTCATGATCAATAGCTATGCTAGTGTATCGAGGATGGAGTGCTCACTTTGCTTCTCTAGAGGTGTAGGTAGCAGATCTAGATGCCAATGAAAATGTCATCAGTCAATCGTTCAAAGAGCAATTCTTCCCTCCTGTTCCTTACCCTCGTTCACCCATCTTGAGTTGTTCTTTTCTCCTTCTACCTCCTCCAACTTGAGGCTGTCTCGAAGCCGTACAAGATAGCCGGACATGGTGAAAGCCCTACCTAGGTAGGTTGAGGTAGCAAGTGGAATAGAGAAGGATAGAAGACAAACAAAAGAAAAAGCTTAGCGGCCCTAAATTTAAATCAATCAAAAATCGATTAGGTTAACGCGCTAATAAATCCAAGGCTGATAGCATCCTCAAAAACGGTACCTTAGTGAGGGTACTTGGTTAGTTGCCCAGGTGGGGTTAAATATGGGCCGGGCCATCTACCTAATTTGTTCCGTGATAAGCACACATGGGGCAAATAAGTTGATTGGTTAAACCGGAATTCATACGTATCAAATTCCTAAATTGGCTATTGAGCACGCTTTGGTCTCCACTTGTTCTTATTTTCTTATCTAGCTTGCAGAATTTGTAAATTGTAGCTCCCCAACGATCAAAACGGATTAGTTCCATCGCAGAGAAAAATTGATTTCTTTCTCATTCCACAGGAGAGTGCACAGAATTATCAGAAACGGTATCGACTGGATGTATGAGAGGGATCTCATACATCTCAATAACAATTAGAACCTGCTTTCATGCGGGGAAGTCAGAATCTTACACCTAGAAAAGGATTATTGCCATCCTAGGAATGTTGAGATCCTTCGAAGTTTTTGCCACGGAGACTAGTAGCTAGGTCACAATTTCAATCGTCCAGATATCAACCTTGGCCGCTTCACGCTTACTACTTACTGCATACTACATGCTACAGAGGCGAATTTTATTCGCGAACCTATCAGACATTACTACCTTGGTAGATCAATTGATATCTAGGAACATCCAGTATGAATTTTATGTAGCTCTATGTACGAACTACTCCGAACTCCACATTCTTCCACTATTCGTCCCAACGGGCCGAGACCGTTTTGGTTGTAGTGAAAAAAGGGCCAGTACGTCTTTCCAGGAGCATGTCGATCTTAAGATTTTAGATGTTAGCCAGGGAGTATCAGTTAAACTATGTCCACACTCACCTCCCATAAAAGAGCCCTTATTGCTTGTTCGAACAGCGATACCATACGGGGCTAATACTGTTAGTTGATGACCATCACTGCCGGGTAGAGCTCGGGTCTTTACCAATTAGTGGAATATTGATTCCAATCTGCCCTACATTCACACGCCGTTGGAAGGTTTTGGCATGTTTACCACTAGTAGTGAAAATGGTACAGCCGTTCCCATCTGCAATAAATTAGTAATGACTCGGCTGACGCTTTGTAGTACTCACATTTATTGCGATTGATCAGCTCAATAGCGTCGTCGAGCGTGGCCATCTGCATACAGATGAGGACCGGTCCAAATATCTCGGTCTGGTAACATTCCATGTACGTTTCCACATTAGTGAGGATCGTCGGCCCTAGGAAGTTTCCATCGGGATATCCAGGAACCTGAACATCGCGGCCATCACACAAGATGGTAGCGCCCTCCTCCACCGCACGCGTGATTACCCCTGCGATCTTCACTTTAGCCGCTTCGTTGATCAAAGGGCCGATTTTAGCGTTTGGGTCTCCTCCGTAGCCAACGAGCATAGACTGTGCAATCTCTGCCAGTTTCGGTATCCATTCTCGCGTCTCGCCAACAAAAACTGCTACGCTCAGGCCCATGCAGCGCTGTCCCGCTGCGCCAAATGCACCGCCTGCTATCGCGAATAGAGCTGGCATCATGCTGGCATCTTCTAGGACTACGCCGTGGTTCTTGCCGCCACATTCGGCTTGAATCCGTTTCCCAGCTTTTCGGGAAATGTCATGCACTTGGCGTGCTACTGACTCAGACCCTACAAAGCTGACGGCTTGGACTTTTGGTTGAAGTATTAGCATCTGCACTGTGGAGTGATCTCCATGCACAATGTTGAATACTCCTGGTGGGAGCTCGGCTTGTAACACTGCTTCGGCCATTACCCTTGAGACTGATGGTGCTTTCTCGGATGGTTTCAGAACAACTGTGTTTCCAGTGATAAGTGCGTATGGAATAGACCATAAAGGAGTCATGAATGGGAAACTGAACGGTGTGATTGTCACGCATACACCCTACAGAATCAAATTAGTGCTTGGCTTCAAATATAGTTCTCTTTCAATTCAAATCTCATACCACTGGCTCATAGAACGTCTGAAGAAGTGTTGGCTCAGACCCAAGGAACATGCCAGCCATTTCTGGCCCGATTGAACAGGCTGCATGGATACAGTCCAAACCGCGAAATACTTCTGATTCAGCATCTGCGATGGTCTTCCCCACTTCTCGGCAGAGATATGATATCTTTTGACAACGGTGAACTCGGTCAGTTATACACATTTTTGTCATGGCTAGCAAAACATACGATTGTCGTCGATATTCCTTTCAAGACATCGATAAGTTTGAGAAGGTATTCTCTTCGTATTTGAAATCCTAGGTTTTCCCATCCTTGTTGGGCTTCCTGGGCGGCATTTACTGCCCTCTGGACTTCTTGATGAGTGCAACTGGGTACGCGAGAAATCAGGCCTTGAGTAGCCTTTCTTATACTCAGCATTTATCATGATGCGATAGACATGTTACATATTTACATACCGGGTCAAGCACGTCTTTCCAATCTTTTGATGCGGACAATACGCGCACATTATTGATGAAGAGATACGCGTCTGTACACAACGGTGTGTGTTGTTCTTTTTCGCTTACACGAAGGATCTCGTCAAGTTCAGAGAGGCTCGTTGTAGCTGCTGGATCCTGGGAAACAATTGGTAAGTTATTGCTCATTCATATTTTAAGTACCTAGGTAGTCAAAGATCGGAAACATCAGTCCACCATGGAGTCAGTACCTCGTCAATCTCTCCTAATTCTCCCAGGAACAGCTGCATATCATCATCGCCGGCATTGAGTGGGTAGGGGAATGGAGAAAATCTCACACGATGTAGAGATCTTGTGGCCTTCGGCATTGTAGTAGAGAAGGGTGAACCCGAAATTACGGAGGGTTGTAACCCCACCTTCCAACCATGAATGTTGTGGGGAAGCGCGGGTAGTTAGGTCAGTCCAGTTCAAAACATGTATATAATTAGATACAATCCTTGCATATATTAAGTTAGTTATCAGATTGGAACCTTGGAACTTATGAATGCTTCTATTCTATATCTATGATTATAAACCTTCATATACAGCTTTCTTCTTTTCTCTATCTCCTGTCCGCAAATATTGAGTCATAGAATGATCGGCCTACCAACATTAGCAATGAAAAAAATATATATATATAAGCTCTAGAATGGTGAACTCACCCTTATTAAGCTTAATAAATCGATGCTCATAAGGACCGATCTCTGCCTCGAGCATCATGGACTTCGCCGGCCTATACTTCTCAGGCCCCTCATAAACCCAAGCCCAGTGATACTCATCACACTCAACATAAGGATCATCATGAAAGATCCTCCTAACCACCCACCCATGCCCAAGGAGCGCACGACAAGAATAAAGTTCCTTATCATCAAACCCCAGCCCCCCAAGCGCCAATCTAATCCTAACACTGCGATGAATGCGCTCATTGGTCCTAGCCAAGAACGTATCTGTCGGTGCGGTCGTATCCCGTTCTATGCGGCGATACATGCCTGGTGTGCGTGTCGTCTTCCCAGCTAAACGGTAAATTCCCGTTACAGACTGTACGAGCTCGCCTAACCCCCATGGTCGAACGGGCTTGTGTTTATGGTAGATGTCCTTCGACGCCCATCGCGTAACATGCTTAGCGTGCTCTGCGTTGCGGTCTGCTTTGTCGTAGTAGTAGCAGACATTGTCATCGAAGATGCGGTCTATTAATCCTTCTTCGAAGGATATTCCTATTGAGGCTAGTTGATCCACCATCCAGACTAGAGACACATTTGCCAGCTCTTGGTCTGGAAGGCCGCCGCCAACGTTGGAGTGCACGCCACAGAACCAGACTTGACGTAGGTCTGTCTTGACGTGGCGGGGTCGTTCCCAGATTGCTGGGGCGAATGATGTGCGCTCTTCATCTAGGGCTAGTGCTTGGAATGCGTGCTCGATGCCGTTTGATAGTGATGTGTTGTAGAATTTGCACGTAGAGCTGGTCAGTATTTCTCTGTTGGATGGCGATAAGATGTACTTATTGTTTAGAGGACCTAGGTATTTTCAGCTCGTTTCCTAGATTTGTATACGGTATACCTATACAGTTCAAAATTAGCTCTTGTCAATCACTTTTTGGTCTAGGTAGATAGATACCTAGACTTCCGACTGTTTCCCAGACCGCAACGCATCGAACTCGGATACGAATTCCATCTTGATCATAAACTCGCGTAAGGCCCTCCTGGTACAATGTGAGCACTGGACTTGTTTGAACCCCCAATGGAATAGATACATACATATTCAAGACGGTTCCTGTATTCCTTCCGATGCCTCGGCTTGTTAGGAAAGGGCTTAGTAGGGAACTTATCCCTGTGGTGACTACCTTCCATACGTTGCATATCCTTGAAGATCGGATAAAGATCCTCCATACCTCTAGAATTAAGAAGTCCAATTTCGGAGATGAGACCCTGAATCAGTGCAAATGTCAGGTATTGCTTGCATATAGGTTTCTACCATACTCACAGCCACGCTACGCGCAGTGAAAGCACCCCGCGAAAATCCCACGAGAATGATTTCATCGCCATATTCATAATTTGTGGCGATGAAGCTATACACTTCACGAATATCCTAAATCAAATCAACGTCAACATTCTTGGACCACTTCTCCCATCAGATCAGATTACAGATAACTCACTTCAGAAACCCCAGCTCCGAATATCCCACCAGCAAGTGCATCAACAATACTTCCGGAAGTTCCGACTCCAGAATGATAATACACGACCTGGATCTTCCCATCAAATGCCCTCCTCTTTAAAGAACGATAAACACGAGTCACATTCGTCGGGATGGAAAGAGTAGTGTGAGGCTGTTGTAAAGTCGGAGCATCATAGCCCTTTTCACTATTCACCCATGTTCCATCACAGCATGCAACTATGCGTTTTCCCTGAGCCATTGGCAGTTGCTGTTGGTGTAGCCGGCACCTTTTTGGATTATTCTTTTGTCTTGGATTTTTGGAAACTCAAATGTATGACCTGCGTCTCGGTTGGCAGCGGAAGTAGTCTTGATCTTCAATTTTCGAGTTCGAGATCCTTGTTTTGACCCTTTTCTTTTCTCTTTTGGGAATAAGAAGTTTTCTTCAAAGTAAGAAAGCATTTCTGGAATGAAATTAAAGAAAATATTAGTAGTGGGGGGAGCGGCTCATTATCCTTTGTTTACTCTGACTTTTTCTCAAACACTCAGCCGATATAGATCACCTGATGAGAGCCTAAGGCAACAAAAAATCGAATCTAATATCTAAGATGAAAGTAAGATCGAAGATGAAAAAGAACCTTGGAAAGATGACGACGAAATTCATTGGTTCAACAAAGCAAATTCTAGACAAATATCCCTGTCCCGATCTATTCCAATAGCGTACAATCCAAGAAAAATAAGCTGAACAAGAGAGAGCGCGAATTAATGCTGTTCCTCATCTGAATGGGAATTTCAAGGTTTGGGCACGATTAGCAAGTCGTCAAGAGCGGAGAGCCGAGGTCATGAGGAGGGGAGTGAACAGTAAGTGGATAGTCTATTGCGAAACTGATACCAGGGAAATGAAGATGATAGCAAAACAGTCAGGATGAAGATGTGGCGTGGCGTTTCAAGAGGTAGGGTTTGATAGACCTCTGGCAAGATGAATAAAGATGCTGTAAACACAATTTATCGCGTTAGAGTACAAGTATTTGCTAATACATTACTCTCGGGACACGTCACGGCCGAAGAGACGGGCCTTAACCCAGTCCATGGCGACAAGAACACGGTTGCGAGAGCTGAAGCACATGCTAAGGTAGGCACTGCGCCAGAAAAGGTAGGTCAGAGTACCACCGCTGGCAATGTTGCCGCTCAGCCAGCTGATATCGGCAACAGCGCGCTCCTTGCCAATGTACGCCAGACTACCTTGGTGGGAATACTGGAAGGGTCCGATCTGTTTATGTCTCCGCAGCTGCTTCTGGCGCTCACGGATCTCATCGAATACCTGGTTGCGCTCCTCGTCGGACTTAGTCTCAGACTGCTTGGCCGACAGAATCTGCAGCTCCTTCTCGATGGCCTCGCTCTTACCCATCGTGTTGAAGAGACGAGCCAGGAAAGCACCCTCCTGACCAGCAACCTGGGCAGTGGGGGCGTAGTTGGTAATGGCGCAGTCGCCGACGGCCCAGATGTTCTCCGTTCCATTGACAACCAGGTACTCGTTCACGGCGAGACCGCGGCGGGAGTCCTTCTGGGCGGGGATCTGGTTCATAAGGTCGCGAACAACGGGGCGGACGGCGTTACCGGTAGCCCAGACGAGAAGACCGTAGGGGATTTGCTCGAGCTTCTTGGAGCCGTCGGGGTTGGTGCTCTCGGCCTCGATGTACTTGTCGGTAACAGCCTTGACCATGGTCTTGGTGCGGATGGTGATCTCCTCCTCCTTGAAGGTCGATTCGGTGTAGTCAATCAGTTGCTTGGAGAACATAGGCAGAACGTTAGGAAGGGCCTCGACGAGGGTGACGTGGAAGTTGTCGGTAATTTCGGGAACCCACTTCTTCAAGTCATCGTTGAAGAAGTCCTGCAGTTCACCAGCAAACTCAACACCGGTAGGGCCACCACCCACGACAACCATGTGCAACAGGCGCTTGATCTCCTCGGGGGATTGATCCTTGAAGATGGCGGTCTCAACACAGTCCATAATACGCTTACGGATGTTCTGAGCGTCAGCGACTTCTTTAAGGAAGCAAGAGTTCTCGCGAACACCGGGGATACCTAGAAGTTATTAGCTTACTTTTCTCTAGAAAGATAAAGAGAAAAAAAATATGTTGTCATGACCACTCACCAAAAGTAGCGTTCTCGGCACCGACGCCGATGACAAGCATGTCGAAAGGAACCTCGGTGTTTGTGATATCACCCTTGACCTCCGAGTCGTCACTGATGTGAACAACACGTCGCTCGTAGTCGATCTTGGTAGCTTCGGCTTCGTAGAACTTGACGGTAGCCTTTTTCTGGCGGAGGACGTTACGGATAGGCTCCATGATTGAGCGATGCTCGATCAAACCGGTAGTACATGAGGGCAGCAGGGGAGTGAACAGGAAGTAGTTACGAGGGGAGACGACGATGACATTGTAGTTCTCAGTGTCAAGCTTCTTGAGCAGGGAGACAGCACCCCAGCCAGTACCTAGGAAGGCAGTGAAATTAGTGAATGTTCCTAACCAAAAGTCAATTGTGATCACATTATCATACCGAGAACAACAAGGGTCTTCTTGTCCGGGGAAGGCTCGATCTGCTCTTCGGGGTGGCGGAGCTCGTAGATACTGTAAGCTAGGACTCCGAGGAGGCCGGCACTGCCCATCCAGGTCAATCGCCAGGCCCAGCGAAGAGCACGGAAACGCTTCTTAGGCTTGGGGACAGGTGAGGGAGTCGGGGCAACATCGGCGTAGCCGCGACGAGCGACACGCGAGATAGTCTGGAAGCGGAGAGGCTTTGCGCGGAGAGTCTGCGTCGAGGTCGCGACCGACCGGCGCGTCATAGACTGCATGAGGGCCGGGGAAACCATTGAGCGCATTGCTAGCGTAGTGCCAGCCATGATGGGCCCAGAAGCTTGAAAAAAGCAGATGGGGAGTGGAAAAAATGGGATGATTTTTGCTAGAGCAAAGGAACAAAAAGTTTTGATGGGTTAAATCTCATTTCTGTTTTGGGCGAATCGGTGTAGGCGGCTTAATTCTGCCATATTTTCATCATCGTATTCTCTGTCTTCTCATTACTATTATTTGATAAATCTCAATTTGAATCTTACTCTTCTCTGCCTTGATCCAATTGGTTTCTGTTTTATTCTACTAGCACTTTGGTTCCTTGTGTAGACGGCTTTGATAGTGAGAGCTTTCTCAGCCCTAAGTCAATAGCGGATAAAAAAATTCGGCCAACCCAGAGACTTGAGGGGATTTTAAATTCCCGGTGAGGAGAAAGTGTCTCCGATTGTTATTTTCTATTCTTGATGTCTTCTTCTATAAATACGAGCCTTGTACCTATCTCCTTAATTGTTGCGCTGCCCGTAACACTCATTAAACTTAGAGGTTCCAAGTCTGACTTGGAGTTAAGATGCGGAGGATATGAAGAATCAGAATCTGGGGAAGGATTCCGATCCACACAAATGCACAATCTACTTTGTATTAGAACTTTCAAGCTTGACCCGAATAGTTCGGCCGGTGAGAAAGACAGCTAGGCCGAACTGCCGAAGCATCCACTTCCGTTGGTATGATGTAGCAAGCTAGTGTGGATGGCCTAACGACCGCTCTAATGAGGAACTGGATTTTTGTCAGAAGATGTTCAATTGAAATCTCAGTATGAGCATTTATTCTACTATAGGAGTTACATATATGGTGATGATAAGATGGTGTTGAAGATATTAAATTTCTTCAGAAGGTAGACATAAGTCTACCAGGTAAAAACGCCGAATAATGCAAAATGCAGCGACGACAATAATCCAATGCGTCAAAGATAAAGTGAAAGATACCGATGATAAACGCCTTAGCCATCCGCATGTAGGTGAAGGCAAGAAGAAGAACCCTTTAGTGTTCGATATAACGCCGGAGGGAATGCATCAAAAGGTCATGAACGAGTATTCCGCATGAGATGAGATCGCGATGGACGGTAATAATTGGTTGAAAAGATGTACAGCAAAGAAGTTGATTTTTGAATTCAGGGTTTTTGATTCGGTTTGTTCATCGAGAAGAGTCGTAATAAGGCGGTGACTTCGTCAAAAAGAGAAAAACGGTCTGACGGAGTTCAGATGTTCAGCCAGAAAAGGTCTGGGAAGGTGTGTAGAAAGAGTGGAAGGAACCCTGATTCCATGCGTCTGGGTGGATGTATGGCAGCAGGCCGGTCTTGCGGTCAGTGGCACCTTTGCTCAGAGGCTGGTAATGCATGTGATCAAATGGCACACTACGCTGTTGTTGCATCGACGTGGAAGGGGGCGGAATGAGGAGAGTGTGGACCGAGCGAACGGGCCTGTAGGGGGAGTTGCGGTTGGCGAGAAAGAAGGATGGAGAAAGTTGAGTCTGGGTCTGGGGTGTGTGGACGGAATAGGCCGACACCGCAGGTGAAACAGTCGAAGTCGTCACCCCGAATGGACTATGATGATAACGAGCCAGGTCCGATAGAGCGGAATTATAGATGCCAGACGCTACCGGAGGCAGTGGGCCCGCAGGTATCTGCTGCGTCCAGTTGGCAGGTCGGTTATAGACAGCGGGAATGGTGGGAGGTGCAGGTAGTTGAGAGGCAGGAGTGGAGGGGATTGTCTGAGGAATTGAGTTTGAAGGCGGAAGACTGGGGAGAGGGAGGCGTGAGGTCCCTGCCACTGGTCCTGGGGCGACAGATGTCGGTGTCAGAACAGGCGGCAGATTAGGAATGGCCAAGTGAGGTGGGGCAGTAGCAGGGTTTTGCACCGTGTGTGCCACTCGCTTGGAGGGTTGCGTCTCAGTCTCATCATCGCGGCTTCGCTTGCGGGGAACCATTGGCACGTCACCCAATTGTGCAGGGACAGGATATGGCAGTCCTGGAACAGGCATATACCAGTTGGGCTGAGACTGTGGTCGAAACACATCGGTTGGTGGGGACGGCAACTTAGATGGGGGCGATGGCGGCAATAATCGATGAGGTGAGACATGGGGAATCGAGTGATCCTCCAAAGTAATCATCGAGGCCTCGTTGAAGTAATCACCAAACAGGCCCAGTTTGGTGTGCCACCGTGACCATTCGGCCTCCGAGCAGAACAGGTCGTAGCGAATGTTGCTGAGAAACTCAACCTCCATGACGTGGATCTCCTGCACGGCAATTCCAGAGACCTCGGCCCAAGTCTTATTGGTGTATGTGTTATCGTCGAGGACTGTGGATAAGTCAGCATTATATAGCCAATCAGACCTCTCTCGGGAAGAAAGGCGGTGTCACGATAAGGAAACTCACATTTATTGCCGAGCATCAAGGCGACCGTCATCAACCGGTATTCACTGCCCTTCTTGCCCTTGACACCAGCATTGAACTTCTTGAGTCGGTAGATGAAGAGAAGAGCAAGGAGGATAACATTCTGGCTGACTTGTGTGGTGGAGAGAATGCTTGACACCCATTTTTGGAAACCCGGGGTAGGAATCGCTCCAGGACCGAGAGGAAATGGCACAGGATGAGATCGGTTTTCGATGGATTGTAATTTCGACGTCTTTTCAAACCAGAACAGACAAGTCATCTAGATAGAACTCTCAGTAATCTTTCCCATATGATCTTGTAAATGATTTCCACGAACCTGGGCTGCAAATTCAGCCAGACTGCTCTTGCTATTATTAATAGTCGAAGGAATGCGCAACTGTGAGCCACTGATGGATTTCTTGTGCACAGACTCTGAGGCAGGGGTATTATCGGACTTCACCACCCGGTGAATCTCTGGCTTCATAGTATGTACCATTGAAGACGAAGCAGAATCCAAGTGAGGTCGTGCATGATTGTCAGACACATTGGATTTCCTCCAGATGCTAGGCAATCCCAAGTCACGGTACCTAGCTATAGCTGCAGAGCTGGGACCAGCCATATCGTGCGGGGGAGTAGGTAGACCGTCCCGGAAGGGAGCAGTCCAGCAGGCGCCGGTGTCAAAAGTAGAGTTGTATGGACGGTCTACTGGAGAGATTAAGTCGTTCGAACGATGGAAGTGGCCCAGGATCGAGGAAGGTTGTGAGAATGTTGCTGAAGACATAGGGAGGGAAGTATAGAAGGTTGAGAAGGTCGACACATGTAGGGTGGGGGGGTCGGATTCAGGCAGTTTTATGAGGGGTGGATTTGTTTGCAGGTTGCAATGTTCGACAAGCAGAAAAGCAAGCCGAGGGTATTTCAATGATCCATATCCTGTTTACCACGATCCTTATAAGAGATCTCGGGTTGGGAGGGCTTTGATAAGTATGAGGTAAAGGCAACAGCTAAAAGTGGAAATGACGGTGGAGAAATGGAGCCAATTGAAGTCAATGAAAGCACGAGACACTCAAGGATCTATATCGAAGGAAAGTGTAGAGTCAATGAGAGGTGAAAGAGAAGTTGGACGTTGCCAAAGAATGATGCATAAGGAAACAGCCAACCATATAAGAACGGTTCCAGTGAAGTAAAGTGTAGATAAAATAAAAAGAATTTAAAAGCAAAAATAAATCCATAAAAGGAACGTTCACGGGCCGGAAAATAAAAGGGAATAAAAGGGAATTATAAAAGAGGAATAAAATAGGAATGGAAGTCAAGGCATCATATCCATATTACCACAAAAAGACCCAAGTCCACTAAAAAGAGACCAAAAGAGACCCAGGGTAGGTTGACCCATCCGGCGAAGGTATCTAGAGTTTGACCCGGACGCAGGGCCAGAGGGTTGATCCTCCTTTCTGGGCTCGTTTGGGGGGATCCATCTAGATTTGATTGTCTCTAAGCAAAAGGAAAAAAAAATGAAAAAATGAAAAAAATAAAAATAAAATAAAATTGGAGTATTCAATACAGAATACCGGTTGATGTCAGAGCCACAATGTGGATGCAGGCCTAGAAAGGGTACGTCGCATAATGTTTACAGTTCCCGCGCTCAGCCTAGACGGAGTAGGGCGGAGGTAGAGAGGGAGAGAAAGGAAGGGGATAATTAAAATACTAGCAAACAAACTAATACCCAAACATACATAAATAACCAAGATCCATGGAGAGAGTCTAGTGATTTTTAGAAGTTCAGGACCCATATCAGATCCAATAATCAGTCCTGGACTCAGCTGGCAACGGCCCAATGTACAATACAAAACCAATAATACCAATAAATTACATAATTAGCCCTAATCTGCAAAGGGATTAGGTTTGGGATTGGGAACACCTTAGGATCATTAATCACTACAATTACAATCTATTAATAAAGGAATGGTAAATGAGATAGTAATGAAATGACACTGTAAATGGAGAAAAAAGAATGGGGGCTGGCGTGTGTTCAACCCCTGCTCAGAGAGACGATCAATGTTCCAGTGGGGCAATAATACATAAGACCATGAAGGGTCTCCCTGGAGAAGAGAACAACAAAACAAGGTAACTAAAAGATAGATTATTGGTACGGCATAAGTGGTCCGGTTGCTTGAGAATTCCAGGATGCGAGGATCCACTCATAGTCTCATGTAATCCGAACCAGCCGCCTCCAGTGGAATGAGTGGCTGAATACTGAATACTTAATAGAGAGATGCTAATAAACTGGGTATTTACAATAATCATGACACCGTTACCAGCGTGACTAATCGCGTACTCCCCGACCGGTTGTTAGCCGCTGACTCTTTTGATTGGATTGTATTCACCTCTTTTGCCTCTTCCAGCTTCTCTCCCTCCTTACTACAATACTAGTAATCGTATCTTCTATCTCCGTTAATCCCATACTTTGTGCTCCAATACCCAATTATCCACCTGGGCACTACCATTCAACACTCAAGTCTAACTTTTCCAAAACCTACTCATCATCGTTTTCATCTTTTGTCTCCATTGTACTTACTATAGTACTATCTTGTTTGGGTCTAGTCTCCTTTTCCATCATGGACATTGAGCATTTGACACAATCTCATTCGTCCACGGACCTTCGTACTTATTTGCTTTACCCAAGCGCTTGGTAAGACCGGACTTTTGGCGTTGTTCGTATATTGGCCCTATTGATGGAGCCCTAAGAAAAAAATAAAATAAAAATTAAACATGAAAATAAAAATCAACCCCCTGTTTTGAACTGGTAAAGCCTAGGATTCTCGGATGTCGCATTATCACACCTCATTTGCCCGGCTCAAGTGGATTTTTCTCAATTAGGTCAAATTGGGTAAATTGGAGTTTGACGCGTATGAATGGATGAATGGAACGCGACTCTCACGAACCACTCTGACTAGTAATCAGTATCAGGCCACTTCAGGCTTCAACTCTGAAACAAATTGTCGTTCTCGTCCTTAGGGCACAGTCACGTGCTCTTATACATCGCCACGGTGGATAACTTACCTTTTCCGTATCTCCTCTTTCTCTTCGTTTCCAGAACCCCAGATGAAGTGGAAGTGGGTGGGCCACAGAAATACCGTGTCATTGGGGGTCCTCAGGTAGACGATCTATTGCCATAACACGAGACTTGTTACCGTCATACGGACTCGGTTGCATTGGTTGACCGGATTTCGCCCATTCCACCCGCTAAACATTAGCAGTATTTTCACTCTACTTCTCCGTGCTCTGTACTCCGTTTTCTGTTGAACTCCGTTTTCTTCTATTCCCCGATCTGCAAAGCTGACTCTGATCACCCCTCTTTTTTTCATTATGAAGCCGACTCGCACGTCCTCTCTCTCCGTCGTCGCAGTGGGGACAAATTAAAATAATTAAAAATGGACACACCCAAATTCCCTCCCTCCTTCATTCCCCCCCCTTCTCTCGTTGCCACGACTTTAGTCCCGGTTGCGGCAGTCTATGGAAAGATTATTCCCTAACCGCCCCAACTCCTTGGAAACCTGGAAATATTGCTCCACACAGTCGCAGAATCCTCCTGGGGAATAGATAATGGGTAATTGAGTAATTGGGTAGAACTGTACGACCTCAAGTATTTACTTCGTACGATGTCAATGATGGAGATTGAAGGGGTTCAACTAAAATCTACCCCCTGTTATTGTGTCGTATACTTCGTACTTCCAACAAGGACAAATTCCAATTCAACAAATTCCACAAATTCTACACAATAATAACGAAATGATCATATAATTATTTTTACCTTGGGTTCTATGACTATTGGCGCATGCAGGCTGACCGCGGCCGCCACGGTGAAAAGTGAATGATACTGGAGGGCCCATTATGTCTTTGTCTGCGGGATACTCACCTATCATGGAAGTCATCCGAACTTCGCTCTTCGACAACACTAACGGGGGGCGGAAATGGGAAATGGGAAGGACCTCTTTGGCCTACTCTTCTCTATACTCTTACTCCGTATTCCCGTACCTGATATTCCAGGTAACTAGGTAGAAATTGGGCGTATTATCACCCTTTGATTGGTTGATCTATCATTGATGGACTACAAGGTTTTATTCTATTTTATTTTATTAGTTTTCAATCAACTGTTAACGGTCAAGTCGATCAATCCCGATTTTCCCGGATGACCTTCGTTCCGTTTACGCCGGTCAAGTCTCATTTTTTTCTTCTTTTTTCAAACTTCTTACCGTAACCCTGGGACAAGAAAAACAAAATCAAGTGGGGAAAAAAGGAAGGGTAACTTATCTCATGCATCTTCAATGAAAATTTGCGAGCCGTCCAATATGTCCTATAGTTTACTCATTATAGCCTTGCCGCTTTCCTTCCAGAGCTCCTTGCATTTTTCTTTTTTTTTTTTTTTTTTTTTTCTCGAAACAATCACTTTTTTTTCACTACAGAAACTAAGCACAAGGATAGATGGTTCGATATCACATTGCTTTGTTCTGGGCCCTAATCCATTGCACGACCCATGGTAGCCTAGTTAAAGCTTTTACTCTCTGTACCAACCACGATAATAGATCATTGCCTCCACCCTGGCCTCGGATTTCTCTTGCACTTCCACTTGGCTATGCCGGCTGGACTAATGGACTATAGACACTGGATGTTATATCCTTGCCCGAATTACGCCCGGGTATTCAGGTCGACTTCCCCGGAGATCACTTGCCTAACAAATTCACCCATGGACCGAAGTATGCAATGAACTTGTTACAGGTTCTGCCACCAAATGAGTGGGTTATCTAGGACCAGGGGTCCTAGTGCCAATGATAATGGTCAAATGACATGATCTCACGATCTTCGTAATTCCGTGCCCAGGTCCTTTGAACCTTTGACCGTCTCGACAGGGCATATTGATGAGACATGACTACGGCACAGGAATTAAGACAAAGGGGTTGGTGTTCACTTGAAAAAGCTAAGGGCACCTGGGCAACGCCCAAGTGCTACTGTGAACAGGCGCTCAGGCTCAGGTGGGGGTGCCGAGAAGAAGGGGGCACAAAAAGGGGGGAGTATGGCTTGTGGAGGCTAAATCAGGTCAGATCATCAGTCTAGACGAAGGTTTTGGACGATGAAATCACAAAATATAGTATCCAGGTAGTAAATAGTTGAGATTTGATATTACTAGTTCTGGGTAATGGAAATGGGAAAGGTGGGAAAGCAAAATGTCGAAAAGGTCAAAAGGCGCCCAAAGCACCACAGCCTTGGAGATAGCAACCCACATAGCGTGAATTTACTCCGTATTTGGTCAATGTCCACTGTTTCCTTTTTGAGTTTCCAAGTCTCATTACATTCCAAGATTGTCTGTATGAAGTAGAGGAGGAACTTGGAATCTTCCAGGGATGGAAACTGGTTCGTTGATAGTTCCATCATCAGCTAGTGCCCAGGTGACCCAGTTCGATGGAAAGTATATCTTTGGTGATCAACAGATACTGTATATAGTTACTGTGGGGTCTTACGTAGACCTTGTCTCAGGCAGTGACCTAAGATTAGACTCGTCTAGAGCAAAAATAGTCGGTATATTACATGTAGTATGAATGGGTGGCGGGTTTAACTAGCATTTAATGTGCTAGTTTATAGCAAATCCTGGAATCTGGGAATAAACATGGAGCAAAGAAAATAAATAAATATTGAAAATATACTCCGTAT